GATTTGATGAGTATACATGTATATGAGAGGATTTGGGGTGGGGGGGGTCGGAATGCTCATCGATGTTCCGGCGGAAAAAAGCAGAACTGGGCGATGCTTTCATCGAATGGTTGGTGTCGGCATCATCGAAAACGGGAGGTCGCTGCAGGATGTCTGACTTTGGCCTGCTGGGTGCAGGAGAACTCCCAAAAATACACACCCAGCTGATCGCTGGAAGTGGCCAACGCGGATCCTGGCCTTACAGTGTGGCTGGTCTTACTGCGACAACCAATTCTTAAGGGCGAAGGGGGCAGGGGGCGTTGTTTTTCGTGATGACCATATAGATAATTACCAGGATGCCGCAGGGCAACATGTTCATGCACCAACGGGGAGGCTTGGAAGACCAGCTGTTGCTTTTTTCAGACGCTGCGCGTGACCAGGAAGCAAGTGTTGGCTGGACCGGTTGGACCATGTCGGATGGTCATCTTAAACCTCCAGCAGACTGTTCGTTCTGGGGTCTTCAGAAGCCCAGACCCGACCGGGACGGACTGCCAGGACGGACTGCCGAGAAGCCGGAAACCGAGGTCCCCGGGGTGGTTGGATATAGCAGGGGTTCAGTTGATCGGCATCTAGTGGGTGGTGTCAACCCACTTGAAGATTGGATCAAAAAAAACCTACTAGCAATGGCCTCCAACCTACAAGCAATGGCCTCCAACCCAAATAGTGATAATCATCCCAAATGAAGGGTTGAAAATACTAAATACATGCACATATACATATACCACCCAGGCATATGATCGTCCCAGTCCCCGGTCATGTCTGGGTTGGGAACCCCAGATTGCAAGCGACGGGGTTTGCCGATGCCGACATGCTTCCCATGAAAGCTCCAAACAGTGCTAGACATCTTAGGGAGGACCATAATAGCATCTGAATCTACCACAACCAGCACCCTCCAACAGGTGTTTTGTGATGACAACAGCTGTCAGAACCATAGCATCTGAAGCATCCACACCTGCGACTCCCGGCGGCTGCTGAGGACGCCAGGGCACCTGGGAATGGCGGGGGAAGGCACCCAGAAAGGGACCGCCGTTCCTGAAGAAATGGCCGTCCCGTCGGTTCTGATTTTTTCTCGGTGCAAGTCTAGAAGGAGCAAAAACATTCACATGGGCGTCTTGTTGGTGGAAAGAAGGACTACAATATATAGTCAACCAATGGAATGAACAAACACTTCGGACATGTCATTTTGAAGATATCTTTTTGAACGGGTGGCTCAAAAGGGTTAAATTCTATGACAAGTCCGAGGTGTCCTTGTCATGTCCAGAAGTCCAGGGTCCGAGTTTGAGGACATGTACAAATCAACAAACCACAACAACAGCAACAACAACAACAACAACGACAACAGCAGAAGCACGTCGTGCACCAGTTCGTGGTTTCTCCAGTTCGTGTTGCTCGGGACTCAGTCACGGTGCACGAACCCAGCACGGACACGAACCCAGCACGGTGCGCGCGCCGGGAGGGTCTCCCCCCCACGGACGTCCGGTTCCACCCGGGACCCACGGTCGGGGTGGTGCATGGACGGGGCTGACACCCTAAGTCGGGGGTCGTCTTGGTATAAAACGGTTCTCTCACTAGCCACTTGGGCATTGAAGGATACTCGAGCTGGGGATTTGGAATTTGTAGACCGTTGATGTCCCAGCACGCGATGCACATCCATATATACAAGCGTATGCAATTTCCGGGGAACAAACATGGTGGGTCACGCCAATTCCGATTCCCCATGTTGAAAAGATACAAAACAAAACACTCACTGGACAGACATCATTGATAGTAGATCCCTCGCGCAGGGTTCCGCTAACCTTCCCAGAGAGTCCCATGACTCATCTTACCCTGAGTGATGGAGTATGACTGTCAAGGTGATGGCAAAATGAGAATTAGTTCATGCAAATCCTCCCCGCTTCTTCCCGTTTCTGGCGTGCCACGCCAAACCACACGCGTTCCGCTGTGACTTCAGGCGCCTCCCGCGTCGCTCCATGCCGCGCGAGGGCCGGGAAGCCGTAGACGGCTGCCGGCTGCAGGGCGCTGAGCAGGTGAAGGGTGAGGACCTAAGACGGGCCGGCTGAGCAGGGCCCCGTGACGTGCTTAAGTCTCACCCTCTTCCAGCAGAGGTTGAAGAACCCTAGTTCGACTATCCTATAGGTACCGTTGGTAGGGTCCTAGTTCAGGTCACTTAACCTCTGTTGGTTCAGGCAGGTCCGGGAAGACCGTGGCAAGATCTGCTACAAACAAAAGCTGAGGGGGAATGTAGAATTTACCCAGTGTGTGGGGCAAACCGCCTTTTAAAAAATATGTTGTTCTTGTTCTTCTTCTTCTTCTTCTTCTTCTTCTTCTTCTTCTTCTTCTTCTTCTTCTTCTTCTTCTTCTTCTTGATCGTTGCCTGGGCAGGGTCTCCCCCAATTTCTTTAATTTTGCCTCATGTGCCCTACCTCTACCTCCCCTCAGCTTGATGCCATCCCCAGGTCCCACGAGTCCGAGAAGTCCCAGAAGACGACCGGAGCCGGGACACGTTCTGACTGGCCACGCAGCTCCCCGGCGGCAGCGGCCGCGCCGCGGCCTCCGTTGGTGGCGACCGGCGGTCGCCCCGTGGGCGAGCTTCGAGTTCGCACGCTTCGGCTTGGTGTTTCGGGCGGAAGGGGTCCTTGACATCGGTCGAAAAGGGCGGAAAAAGGAGGTCGGACCAGGAGTCACGTTCGACGGGGTGTTGTTGAGTCCCTAAGTGAATGGATAACGGGCACCCCTAACCTCCATGGATAGCACCCCTTTGTGACTGCTGGGAGAAGAACGAAGTGAATTCTCGACTTGAGAATGGATGAACACAAATCAGGTGTCCTGACCGACCTGACGCCAAATGGTGTCCCTTTTGGGGGGGTCCCAAGAGATGTCGCGGCGATTTCGGCGATCGTGAGCAGCTTTGACCAAGCTTCAATGGTGGCAAACAGTGCAGTAGTTGTTCAACAACTCTCACAACGCCACTCGATCCATGAGTATCCTCAAACAAACATATTTGGAGTTGGCCGTCCCTGTTTCTTTTTGTGCTTTGAAGCTCCTTCTCCAAAGTGTTCGTTGGCAAAGAATGGTATTACCCCATATGAATCCGGGCCCTCAAATACGTAGGATTTGAGGGGTCCCCGACCCCTGCCAAGGTGTCGGGTCCGAACCCTGTCATGGAGGGCCCAGATTCTTAGGGTAGTACAGGGTCGGCCTTTGAGGAACTGATCCATTTCGACATACCTCCAAAAATCTCCGACAGCTCCAGTATACGGAGGAAGTTTTGTCGGATTATGGAGCTCAGCAACTGCCAATCTGTTGGCGAACTTTGCGAACTCCAGGCAGAACTACCTGGACCCGACTTCAAGTACCTTAGAAAATGGGATATGACCCCGTAAATAAATAGTACTTGTACCCATTTTCAGAGGTACGAACTGAGACTCCAGGTATATCCTCAGGATTGCCCAGGAAGGCTTCATCTTCATCTGTCTTCACAGCTCGTTCCCCAACCTCAGGGCCCCCTCTGGCCAACGCAACATGGATCGCCCAGGAACTGCTGTGATCACGTCATCCTGCAAGGAGCCTGGAAACTGCCGTGGACGGCGCGAACATCCACGTGGCAATGATCGTTGGTTGGGGTTCCACGCGTGTGATTTCGCGTTCCTTTTGGGCCCAAGAATGCTAGGCATCTCTGCAAATCCTCTCTCTCTCCCCTCGCATTGAATCTCCAAACATCACAAAGGATGATCTGTTCTGTCATTCGATCTGGCATGTAAGCCTCGATCAACCTTCCATGTGACTTGCGTTTAGATCAAAGTGGTAAACTCACCTAAAACTTACTTCCCTAAGGATCCGGACCCTCAAAAACAAGGGTTTTGAAGGTACAAACCCCTGTGAACAGCAGGATTCGACCCCTTCAAAGGTGTCGGGTCCAAGGATCCTTAATTAGGGTTCTTTATTCCTACTGGTCCCATCAGAGTTTCATGCCCTGCCACTCTGCTCGCTCTGCCACTCCGCCCGGCCTGCCACTCCGGACGCCACCGCGGGCGTCGTCGCGGCCGTGGCGGCGCAGGCGAAGGAGAGCAGCGGCGGCGCTTCCAGGCGCAGGCTGCGGGCGCCTTGGCGCATCCGAGGATCGGTGTGGATGGTCTTGACCACGATCCATGGAGGCCCAGCGGAACTTGGAGGGGATGGATGGCACACCCCCTCGCCCTGCCTGTCACATACACTCACTGCAAAAAAAACACATTCCTTTTGAACCTGCTGCTTGCATGTATTTACCTTGTTCCCGTGCTTTTCGACGTGTGCACGGCACCTGAAACGACCTGGGTGCCAATTCCCAGCAGCGCTTCTATCTTGCTTCCGTCGCGACGCTCGCTCGCTCCCTCGCTTCCTCGCTCGGTCCTCGCTCGCTCCCCCTGCGACCCCTCCGCCCCGACCCAGCTCGGGGACCTTCGACCGCTGGCATGGCAAAGAACACCTCAGCACGTCGGACGTTCCGGCGCCCTTCGACCCACCTGGGACGTTCCCGTGGACCCAAACGGGGGACAGATGGACCGGACTGGCTGGTAACGGACTGTTGGCTTCACCAAATCCAAGCAGATGCAACGATGACAAGCAGTGCACATGTTCGAAAGCAAAAAGAGAAACCAAAGAACCGTGGTCCAGCACCACGTTAGGGTGTCCAGACAAATAGCCGATGTCAAGGGGGTGTCCATTCACCGCCCCGACTGGGGGTCCAGGGTGGTGCGTTGAGACATTACGTGTTCAATCTGTCTCCGAAACCAATTGAGGGGGGGCGAGGTGAGACACTGACTGCTGGGCAACCCGCATCGGGGAGCTCATCGGACTCACCATTTGATCCACTCCTCCCTGCCAGCAACATCTGCGTAGTATACCCTATAGCATGGAATGCAACACCTTTCTGTGATTCCTACAAGGTGCAAATTCCCTCCTTCCAACCAAAACAACAACATCAGAATTGATCCAGAATCCTCGCAAGAGGCCAAAAAGCACCAAGAATGGCCCACGTTGATCCAGCGAATTCCGTGTCGTGGGCGAAAGGCACAGATTCCAGTGGCCCTTCTCGACTGGAAAGCCCTTTGCTTCGGGTCCGGTTCCGGCGCCGGACCCCCGCGAGGCCGTTTCCCACCCATCGTGTTTCATGTCCAGGCAGAAGGGGACCGAAGAATTTCGCCCGGAACGTCACCAGTCCAGCAGTCACAAGACGGGGTGCTATCCATGGAGGTTAAGGGTGCCCATTATCCACTCACTTAGGGACTCAACAACACCCCTTTGTGACTCCTGGGTGAAACATATTGAATAAAATCCCCAGAAGTCCAGTTCGACGATTTGTCGGCACCACCCGGAGAACAAGGAAGTTCCAGAACTCGGATCACCGTTCATCAGACCGTTTTAAAAATGGTCGACTGGACTCCCAGGGAAATACTATACCCTAAGGATCCGGACCCTCAAAAACAAGGGTTTTGAGGGTACAAACCCCTGTAGAGGATTCGACCCCTTCTATGGAGGGACCAAGGATCCTCAGGGTGATCCACCACACACATCTGTCCTACGGACGGTCTGTCGTACGCGCCTCGTCTAGGCCCAGTCTGGGGCCCTTCCACGAACCGTCGGGGGTACCGCTGTTGGTCATGAATCCGCGCGGAACCGCGACCACGACCACGACCGTCGCGCAACTCCGTCCACTCGTCGTCCCAGGCACGGCCACCTCGAAGCTGGCGCCGGGCACGTGGACGTCGGAGGTCACCCAGAGCCGTCGGAAGGGCACAGTACGATCGAAGCTGCCGATGTTTCCTGCCCATGGCGAGAGGTGAGACGAGACCGGGTGTGGCTTCGTGTGTGGAGTTGTCTTGAGGTGGAAGACCCTTTGGGGCTAAAGATCTCGTATATAACCCAGACACGACCTGTCCATAGGATGCCAGGATGGACTGCCACCCCAGAGGTCGACCCCCCTGGTCACCACCACCCCGGTCCGGTCGGCCGCTTCGAGAGGCAGTCCGTCCTGGCAGCCCCAGACAGGTCGTGTCTGGCTAAAGAGTCTATGCGGTTGGTTCTTGCGTGGCCTGATTGGGGAGCCAAGACCTGGTTCGGTCCAGATGTGCTGGGATGGGGAGCCAAGACCTGGGGGAGGTGAGAGCGTTTAGAGGAATTGGGCATCACCACGTCCCTGTCTCTCACAAGGTGAGTGTCCCAAATGAAGAACCATCCGTCATGAAGAACAGGCTCCGTCACTGCTCCTGTCGCAGGCTCCGGACTTCGATGCGACGACTTCAGAACGAACCATCCGTCATCGAGAACAGGCTCCGTCAGCAACGGTCCAAACCATCAGCCATCAGTCGCTCGGGCAGTGGGTCTGAACCGGTGCTCTCCGACCCGTGCGACGCAGTGCGACGGCGAAGTGAGGGGCTGTTTCCGACACCAGCACAACCCGACCAAAACATCACCATGGAAGTGGAGTTCACCTCCACCTGCTTCGGTAAAAGGAAAGTAATAGGAAAAATCGTCCAATTTCAGGGACACAAAGCTTCATCCACCTCCAGTCTTTGTGACTCAAAGCGTACCTGGAATTGATTGCAATGCCTTTGCAGCCTTTGTCTTTGCGTTGACTCCGTCCTCGCCGACAAGTCTCTACTCCGACAAGTCTCTGCCGTGTTTTTCATCCAGCGCCTCCAACAGAAAGCTTTCAAGTACGTTCCCTGAAAGAGCTTCACCACTTGAAATCCGTCATCCGTCACCACCAAGGGGGTGCCTATTGGAGGAAAGCTTCGAAGTATTTTCCCACCGGTCTTTGGTGCATATGGATTTCATGGTCTTTCTGGGCCATGCGGCCAGGCCATCCATGATTGGCCCGAAAAAAGGGAGTTCCCAACTGTGTAACAGAACTGATGGGGGTAACTGAGTTACGGTAACTGTTTCAAAATCCATCTCCAGTTTGCACTTGCCTACTTGCCCAATCTATACTCTTGATTAATATTGATGAATAAACCCCCCATATGAAGAGGACTTCCAGTTCAAATGGACGGATTTATTAATCAAGAGTCTACATTATATATATATATATTTACCAGCAGTTCCAAGGAGGTGGCTACTGGAGATTAGGGGTGTCAATTATCCTAAACGCCATCCTTTTGTGACTCCTGGTATAGGTTTTTAGTTAGTGTATTTCTCCCAGGGAAACGGGCCATCATCATCCGCATCCCCGCCATCTCCTTGTGCCGCCAAAAGCTTCCCAGAGGCCGACCAAAGCTCCAGCCTGCCGGTGGAGGAAGAGGCACTGGAGCATCGACGGCAACGACTTCTTGACAAGGGTATCCAAGAGGTAAAAGGGCATCGCTACGCAACCAATTCCAAGCACCAGTCCACCACGCACCCAAGAAAGACACAGTCGGATGGGCGACAGAGGGTTGAGCAGAAGGGAAAGGACTTCCCAAAGCGAGGCCTTCTTGCCAAACCTTGTTGGCCTCCTGACTTCCATTCCATGTATTGGCCCTCTGCCGTCCACGGTTTCTTATCAGCTATTTGTTCACTTCCTTTTTGGGCTCTTGAAAGTTCCTGTCCAACCACAATAGACACACTTCGCAGAGCACAGCCGCACCCAGGGCTCTTCGTACCGCAACAAGATCCAATCTCCTTTTGGCCCGCAATCGCCGTGCCCTTGAGGCTGGAGGCGGGGAGCAAATGCGCTGCAATTGCACCATCACCGTAATCAAACATAAGCAAGCATGAGGACGCAGCAGGGAAGACTTCGGGAAGGGACAAATAAGATGATGATTGGAGCCTGAGTGGGCGGATATGCATGCCAGTGAGATTCAGTGATGGAGTGTGCACCCAGCGCCTGCCAGGCCTAAACACAACTAGCAAAGTAGACAGGTGTGGATGGCCATCTGCCGTGTCTTGCCCTGAATATTATGGAGACAATGCCTGGCGATACAATGGAAATGAAAAACGACTGCCACTGGGCTCTTCTGGCACCCTATATTTACGGTTTTCATCTGCATTCAGCAGGCGTTTCACGCCTGCCATGGATGAGTGCATATTTAAAATATTTTGCAACTGCCCTGATGTGACCCGCCGTTTGCTGCGGGCGCCCGCTGCCCTGGGCTCGTCCAATCAAGGTTTGCGTATGCATCAGGACCAACCGAGTTCAGTTGCAGGTTTGCGGTTGAACTATGAAAGTGAAAGGGCCAAAAACCCATAGGCTAACAAACCTTGAGAGGCTTTCGGGCAAAGACTAGAAGAAAAGGAAGGGTGGGATCAAGGTGCGGCGTGGGAGGAGATGAGTGTAAAGGTGTGCGGGACAAATGAGCCAGCGATGAAGCCCTGTAAGACCAAACACTCCAACTGTGATAATGTAGACTCTTGATTCATAAACCCACCCAACTGAATTGAAAGTCCTCTTCAATGGGGGGGGCTGATTAATCAAAAGTCTACATTACCGTAGAATCCGTAGAAACACCAATGCCAAGTGGTAAAGTGAAAGAGGGGTCACCACCTCATGGTCAGCGCAGGCCTCCAAGGCTCGACGGCTTCCTCTTCCGGAGGAGCCCAGCGCACGGCCACGGAGACATCCATGGCCACGCTCTCCACATCGTCTGGGAGGATGAAGAGAGGGATGGCCGAAGGTTGGAGGTGGCACGCCGCGCTGTCTTTTCAAACCCCCTAACTGAAAAAAAAGCGAAGGTTGAACAGCGTAATCCCGAGTACCGATTGAAAAAACGGACCCCAGCTTTAAAAAAAATCATGTCGGAACCCCCTAATTTCGGCTTATATTTGGTTTCAAGTTGCCGCCCTTTAAAGCCGCTACTAAACTACCAACATGGCCGATTTTTGGGGTAGATGTTTTATTAGGTGCCAAAAACCACCATAACTGCCCACCTCTGTCCACCCTGTCTATCCTTCCCCCAATGGCACGTACTCACGCAAACGCACTTGCCACCGAGGTCACGCAAAACCGCATGGCACAGCGACATCACCTTTCGAAAGCTTTAGTTGCTAGTCTAGTGAAGAATTCTATAATAATAAGAGTTTACTAAAGGATGTTATATAAAGAGTTCCTGGGTGACTCTTCCCAGGTGACCCTATTTTGGACAACCCCGATTTCAGGGATCCCCTATTTAACAATATGCACCCGAGGTTTTCTTAATAGGGGGGGGCCCGTTTTTTCTAATATGTGGAAGGGATTAATGATATCGGAAACATTCGGAAACCATAGAGAACAATTTATCCGAATCAGAAAGGGAGGTCACTGCAGCAGGGGGACGGTGGTCCGAAAGAAGAGTTTCTCGTGCAGAGTTCACCCAGTGAGGCAGCGGCTTGATCAACCCGAAGTGTCCAAGAAAAGCTTCCACCGTTGGGGCAGCGACCGGAAAAAGATTGGGCCTCCCTCCGATCCAACAAGCCGGCCCACGCGCTGGGCTTCAAAGACTCACAAAGACCCTCCACAGCCCAGCCACCGCCCCGGCGAAAGGCCCTCGGCACCATCCATCCATCCATCCATCCATCCATCCATCCATCCACCCCTCTCCGCGCCCGTCGCATCGCTATCTCCGCGCCTTGAAAGTGCAGCACCGTTGCAGTGCCGTTGCCCTCCACGCGGCTGCGCGTGGGCGCCAGGCCCAGCGCGCGGACGCTCGCGGCGTCAAAGGGGGAGGGGAACGTGAAACCTGCCGCGGTTGCAGCTTCGCGCGGACCGGCGGCCGTTTGCGGTGGGAGCGGGCGCCGTTTCCGGTGCAGAAGAAGTGAAGGGATGGTGGTGATGGTCTCCGAGTGAAGGGAGGTCTCCGAAAAAAAAGGGGGATGATGGTGATGGTCTTGTGATCACCAGAAATCAGTCAGAAATCGATGGTAGATGGGTGTGTAATCTCATGGACACCTGGATCTTCACAACCGAACTTGATTCCCCGCGTTGCGACTCGGTCACTTGCGGCTCTGTAAGTTCGGTCGGATGGGGCTTCAAAGTTCGGTCGACGTTATACCCAGACGCGACCCTGGACCCTCCGTTCAGTAGGGGCCGGACTCTCATCTTGGGCTGTTTGGAGCGTCTGGGTAAGAGATTTGCCGGTGCCAACTCCGCCACCTTCGGATTGAATGCGCGGAGCCCTGGCACCACCCAATGATCTTCCACCAGTCCCTCACCCCTCCCACCCCTCCCCAAGCACCTCCCACGTCTTCCGTGTCTCCACCCAAACCCAAACCTCCGACTCTGCACCTGGTGGCGCGTGGAGCTTCAGCGAGCCGCCGGCAGAGAGCACGGCGCCCAGGGGCACGCCATCCACTTGGATCTGCAGAATCTCCAAGGCCCTGAAGGATCTCTCGTGCGTCCGCCACGTCGGTCGCGAACCGAAACCCACCCGAAACGCGCCACCGGGCGTTCCTCCGTTGAACCCGCACCCGGTCTGTTGAGTGGGAAACAAAGGGTTTTGGCGTGGAAAGCGCGAGGTTCCCGCCCCCTTTTGGTGGTTTTCCGCGGCGTGGCTCGCGGGAGAGGAGAGGAAGTCTCTGGGTTTTTGGGGGAGAGGAGGGCTCTGCTGGCCACGGGAGACGACATAGGCTGAGCTGGATGGAGAGTGAATTGTGTGTGTTGACATGTGTTGACGTCATGTTGTCGCACATGGCCACTGTGGACCTGGTACGGCTTGAAAAGGGTCCACAGAAGTCCACAGAAGTCCACTGGGCATGCCGGATGTAGAAACAACACCCGTTCTGGGGGAGAAGACATGCGTATTGAGGGGCTCGACGTCATTGAGGGATGCCCCAAAAAAGGATTCTAATTGGAGGATCTTACACCACAAAACCAGGTCATCCATACCAAAAGAGGTTGAGAGACCTTATAAGACCCTGTAGTGGTACATATGGGATGGGCGAAAAAGGGCTATTCAACCTCTCTTGGTATCTTTTAAGGTTTAATGGTGGAAGGCTAGGGGATGGACCTCAAAAGAGAGTGGTTCCATACGCCCATGGCCCTCGAAACCACACACATCTGGACCGATTCCGCTTGTTACTAGTAGCTTCTTCTTGCTAGCAGCGATGGCCTCCACCTAGTAGCTTCTAGTTACTTGCTATGCAGAAGGGCACATCTCGTCACCACTCGCTTCACACCATTCACATCCATTCACGATTCTACCCCTACAAGTCCAGCCTGACCTAGTAAAACCAGCTCGCTTGCTTGAAGTGTTTTTGTATGACCAACTCCAGTGAGGTCATTGGCCTGTAGAGTATTCATTCTTTTGGACCATCAGGTGAGTCTATTCCACAGAAATGGCGGACTCGCACCAGGCTATGTTCATGGAACACCTGACGCAGCACGAGCGCGCCCCCACCGGACGTTCCCCTACCGGCAAGCCTGATGAACACAAGGTGAACCACCACACAGGTACCCAGAGTTAGGGTGGGGGAAAAAACTAAGGTCATCCCAAGCGTCATCCCTAGTTGCAACAAACTCCTGGTAAGTCCAGGAGCATGACATGCAATCACACCGCAAGCACTGCTCCGTAACCCGCTCCGTAACCCGCTCCGGATCTGTTCCCGCTCCGTGCTGCGCGGCGGCAAGAGCTCGTGGGTCTCCGCCCAAGTCTGCTGCAAAAGCCATGGCCTCGGGTGCATCGAGAAGGGGCGCCATGAGGATCAATCCTCCGGTCCGCCACGAGGATCTCGGGTCGCCCCAAAAGCGCGGCAGCCTTCCGCGTCAGGTGTGGAGCGTCTCCCAAAAGCTCCGAAACATGTTCTGGAACACCTCCTAAAGAAGAACGAAAAAAACGATCCTCTTCCAAACTGCTGTGCCTCCCAAACTGTGCGAAAAATTTGGGAAAGAATCAACCGACGCCAGTGGACTCCATCTGGTCCCAGCAGCCCCAGCGTGGTCTCATTCTCTGCCTCGTGCACCACGAGGCGCTCCACACGGAGCTCTGACCTGGGTTCGTACCCGGCTCCCGCGCAAAGGGCGAGCAGGTACCCCCAGACACTCCATGGGGCTGCCATATATATGCCTACATTGACCCCGAAAACCACTCGAATGTAGGCATACTTGTATCTTCCAACGTTGGCAGAAATTCTGCCTGTTCATCCATAGTTGGCAAGCCATAGTTAGCAGAAATTCTGCCAACGTTGGAAGATACAGGTATATGGCAGCCCCATGGATCGTGTCCTCTCATTGACGGAGCCACAAGGAATCCCTGGGTGGTGTGGCTCGTCCCATCGGCCGTGGAAAGCTTCGGATGGAGCGACCGAGTGACTCGGAGTTGAAATCCCATCTCTCAAGGGGATCTGGGACAGGCGGTCAGCCGTGGCCTAGATCCAGGGGACAAGTTCGGACATGGAAGGACCAATGGGATGACCCCAACGCTCGGTTTTGACGTTCATCCGATGTGACCGGGTGGGGTGTCCACCCCCCTCTATCCTTTCGTGCGGAACCGGCTGGTCCATGGAACTGGTGGTTCAGTTTCTTTGGGAAAGACGAGAAGAGTACCAAAATGTCGAAGGCTTCAGCTTCTTGGCGGCCGATGGGTTCTGCGGGGCCGAAGATCCTTTCAGTTTCAGGGCAGACCTTTACTCAAGTGATCTAAAGTGCATGTAAAGTGCAAGCTTTGCCTGGCTGTGCAAATGAATCTTAGTTTTTTGTTGCCCCCCCTCAAACTGTCCCCCCAACCTCGGCTCCGGTCCTGTGTGGGGCGGGGGGGTGACACAACCACTGGCGCCTTCGGGCCCCCGGCACCGTGGCGTCCGCGGCCTCCGTCGCGTCCGCGGCAGGCGCGTCTTCGTCCGCGGCGGAGCTGGTCGTCACAACGTCGGAGTCCTGCCGTGGGCCGTGTCTAAAAACTCTAAATCATCTAGATTTGCCTTTGATGGCTTTGTTCCACCTGATGCACTCTGAACTGAAGAGTCAGGATCAATATGCTTCGATATGATTGGGGAATCTCTATGGAATCACTCCGCTAGTGGTAAAGCCATGTAACTAAAAATCAACAATCAACAAACAAACCAGCAGTTCTATGGAGTTGGGTGCTTTCCATAGAGGAGGAAGGAGTGTTCCGGTGTCCCTGTCACATTGTGACACCACCACGCTCAAGTACTTGAGTAAGAACGGGACGAGTTCTGGCCACCACCCAACTCCATGCGACACCTTGTTCCAACTGGTTTTCCCGGGGCAGAACATGCCAACCGACTTGCTTGGCCCGTTTCGCTTGGCCCAGATGTTCAGCCCATGACCGATGGTTCGGCGCAAGAGGCGGCCGACCCCAACGGGCGATTCGCCAGTTCAGTTCGCCGTCCTGGCGGATTCGCTGCTTCCTTGATTTGGAGAAAAATAGAGTATCCACAATTACCGAGCTTCTGGGGCCCACTCAACCCTCTTCATCCGCAAGACACCACATCGACGTTCGCATGAACCTCTTGCCCTGCTCCCCTCATAAATGATTGGGGAAAAACCGCCGGAAGAGCCGCCAATGGAACAGCAAAGTCCCCTACCACAGAATCACATGTCAAGGTTGTGGTGTGGTTCAAGTCCCATGAAGGACAGAACTGCTGGATGTTTTTCACCTCACAGCTAGAAACGGCTGAATCCAGCGGCTTCGCGTCGCTTCGGCCTCCTCCGCCTGGATGGCCTCCGGTACCTTCGGCCATTCGTTCGTCGACGTCGACCGGCGGGCGCCTTTCTCTTTTGGTTGGCCGTCTACATCGCAAGTAGGTTGGAGGCCATCACAGCTTGTAGCTTGTCCCGTTTTGGACCCCCCAAAAAACGGCCCGTCAGAACGGAAGACGGACGGAAGCTCTCTCAGGGCTCTCTCTCGCAGTGCAGTGAGTCGGAAGCTCCGCGTGTACGCTCTGCTCACCGAAACATCATCGACCCCCAGGAGAGACTGCAGGCAATGAAACAGAAATCTGGGTTCGCCTCGTCATGAGTAATGGTCAGCAGTCAGAGTCACACAGCTGATGTGACAAGATCAGCTGAAACTTCGCAAAACCTCAGGCCCCAATCACTCGTCGATGATCGAAAAACACATAAATAAACAAATAATAAAGTGCAAAATAATGCGTGAGGAGGGTGGTGGCACGTCAACTGAGTTTTTTTTCGACACATGTTTTCGGCCTGTGAACGCGGTGTTTGGACCATCCACGCCCCCCAAAAAGAAAGGGTGACCTGTGAAATGGTCCCCATCTGCCACCACCGGCATCGTCAGGGCTTCCCGACCACGATGGGCCGTTGAGGTGCCGAAGCGCCCAAGCGCACGCCGGCTGCCTGGGGGCGATGAGGGGAGGCCCGGGCGCGTTCCACAACAGAAGTTCCAGGGTTGTGGTGTGATGAGGTGGCATGTTTCTGTCTCCGGTGGGTCCAAGTAAAAAGAACCCATGGCTTATTATTCCATTGAAATCTGGCCGTTGCCAGCCTGTGTTTCCATCTCCTCACAGACCCCGACGTCTCGTCACCTCCAAGGTCACGTACCACCAATCGATCGAGAGGTTCGTGCTGTTCGGCAAGGTGACGGTGGCCTGGAAACCTCGGGGGCCGCGGTGCGAGCCAACCAAGGTGACCCAAACAGGTGGATGGTGGATGAAGAGTCACCACCTTTATTGGTTATGTTGGTCAACAAGGAAAGCTTACAAGCAAGCAGCAAGAGCCTCAAAAAATAGACGCCGAAGCGAACACAAAAGCAAGCAAACACAGTGACGACATGGAAAGCATTGTGCACAAGCAGCCGTTGGCTCGCTGGCGCAGACCCGCTGTATCTGTTTTGGCCATGCACTGTCCGAAGTCGCGGGCCTAGGATGAAACGCCGGCGACCTTTGAGAAGAGGTACCTGACGCCGTGGCATGGGACGCGTACCCTGCGAGGCTTCCTTCATGTCCTCTCGTCGGCCTGGCACGACTCCCCCAAAACACGGTACACTGTAAGAACATGTCTAACCACCTGTCACAGAGAACTATAATACGAACTGTTTCCCTACAGGCTGGGCGCCCGACGCCCGGCCGATGTGTCCGCCTTCGGACACCCAAAGGCATCCATCCTCCCCCTCCTCCTCACATCCAACCGGTGGCCTTGGATCAGGCGCCGATGTTGCACTGACGTCTTTCTCTCAGAACTTGGGTTCGGGCAGCTCTGGACCACGCTCCATCTCTGCCTCTTCAACGTTCTTCTTCGTCCTGTTTGGTTTTCATATTTGGTTGCTTTCCTCTCTTGTGTTCCCTATTTCTACACACTCAAGAAAAGATTGCACAGGGAAAGAGATGGAAAATATGAGCGAAAAGAAGCAGACAAAGACAACCATACTTGGTGGTTGGCTTCTGCTTATGGAACTTTAAAATTTAAAACTATTATATACTGTAAAGCATTCAGAAAGCTTATAGAGACTTGTAAGTTAAGTTATTGATGTTTAAAAACCCAAGATTTTGTATAGTTCAACACTTAGCTAAGTTCAACCGTAAGTTTTATAAATTCTCTAAGTTCTTAAGACCTTTTCCAAACTCTACATTGTTGATTCATGAAAAATCTGTTTGTTTGTGCGCCACAAAAAGTTCTCATCAGACAAAATATTGTGCGCTTCTTACTTCTTATTTTCAACTAACACTTTCTGGTTGCCTATAAATACTAGGACTAGGATGTGTGCATGCTTTTGAAGTCTTGACAATGAGCCGCCATCGTAGCAAGAATGTTGTGAATAAACCATGTACAAATTATGTTTATGTAAAATGATATTTAAATACTGCATAAATAAGGTATAAACCGAAAATTGTACATAGTTGAAAATAAACATGTATAGTTTGAAAAAATCAATATGTACAAATGATGTATATTTTTAAAAGGTGCGCAGGTCATGAAAAACTCAAACGGCAAAAAGATTTTGCACATCGCCAAGGTTTCGGTCTATTTTCTATCATGCCAAGCATTTGCACCTATCAATTTTCTATTGCAAGGCTAGGCAGACACTCTCTTAACGCTTTCTCAAAACCATTGTTCTGGAAAAAAAAGCATCTGGAAACAAGAACTCCAAACAAATAGAAACCGATTGCTTTCAAAGACACAACAGTTAACTTCCATGTAATTTATAGTCTCCAGGCTCAATTTCTATAAAGCTCTTCAAAAATACTTACAAACATTACTAAGCACAATAGAACTTATACATACTTATAAGTCACACAACTCACTCTAAAAAACTTAGCTTTGTAAGTGTTGTTATATATATATATATGTGCGCTGGTCGCTGGTTTTGACATATGCTATGAAACTTCCAAGCAAAAGCCAACCACCAAGTAGAACAGAAGAAAAAATAGTGAAAAGTAAGACTAAACTTGAGAGCAAAAACAAACAACAGCAAGCACAGCTAACAAACAAGGGTCTCAAAAAGGCAAAGTAATCAAATGCCAATCAGAAGGATGTGTCAACACTGGCATCTCCATCAAGCAGTGGTGCAGTTGACACGGAAATGGACTGCAGATTCCCAAGTAAACCGCTGCTGCCGTACTTGGAGCACTGAGGTCCTGGCCACGACCCAATCATTCATAAGGGGACAATACCTGTCAAGTAAAGATATCGAGAGCAAGTGTTTGCGCATGTCGGCACTTCTTTACCCACGAATGATCCCCAAACGGTAGACCCACTGAAACGGATATCTTTTCACCCACCAAAACAACACCCCGACACACCAACACACCAAAACAAAACAAGATCTGCTCTCAACAAGCTACCAACAGAGATGTGACTTTGTCCCCGGCTCAGTCAAGCTTCACCGCCTTCTGCTTCTTCTTCCCCTTTTTCACGATGATACACTCGCCCAACGTCGCCAGCTGTGGAATACGTTGATCGAAGTAAGATCGGCATAGGCGAGTTTTGGCATCAGCAAGGCTCCGAAACGCACTTTTTGTTGCCACCCTTGTCGGGGTGGCACTTCAGAGCTTCCCTCCTGGGCGACGGAGACAGAGGTGCTCTTCGGGGAGTGACCGGAAGGATGCCTCCCTTGGATGGCAAATTGCAATTTGCTGCATCTTTCACAAGCCAGTCAGGCCACTGCGCGCCAGCAAATCTTTGCAGATCCCCTCCAGCGTCTTTGTTTGAAACGCTAGCCCCCTATTGGCGCTGGATCTTTTCAATAAACATCACACACCCTCTGAAACCAATCAAAGATCAGAAAGGGTCAATCCTTCCACCCAGGGTACTGCTGGTTCCACGATCTAGCGCCAATCTACCGGTTTTTCTAGCGCCACCATGGTGAAGTAGTGTTCGTACCGAAGATTCAAAAACCATGTCTGCAAAAGAATTGCTGTCATTTCTTGGGCGGGACTCGTCACCCGCACATTGCGTCCATTGCTGCCAAGGAGCGGTGGACTCCATGTGGCATCCATTCCGCTCTTGTAGTAGTACACGGACCCGATGAACGAGTCCGTGTACCATTTCCACCCGTCCACCTTGCACAGACTGCAAGTCAGCCAACAAGAGCCATGGAGGGGAACCCTTCCCCCTTCTTCGACAAGGTCTATGAACACGGATTCAATGCGTATGTGGCCATGTATGTTGGCGTGGGTACAAAACTCATTTTCACCACGGCTTCAAGGTGATGGAAAAAGAGTTGCGCTCACGTGGTTTGTTCAATCAATTAGTCCATGCTCTCTGTGCCAGGCGTTGCCTGAGAGGGCCTGGCGCTGGAATCTTGAATGTTAGACTTCCAACATGGCCTCCTCACTTACTATCTTTGTGAAACATGTTGTGTTTACAACAGTTTTTTGGTGCAATGTCCGTTGTGGGCCTCTAAAGCCCTGTCGTGAAACAAAAAATGGTTGGGATGTGGCAGAGGGGCATATGTGTCGCTGAGATGCAAGCTAGTTTGCGCACATACTGTGGTGTGGGTGTGGCACGTTTTACTTTACCAAGTTCGACGTGGAAAAGTGAGAAGTGGCACACCGATGCTGGATGTCGTGTTTTCTGGGCATGAACTGTTTACGTATGCCTCAGTCTTTGCATGTTCAACATATGTTATGCTATTGACATGAAACTTCCGAGTTACTGGCGCAAAGGAAAAACAAGGCAGAGGATTTCTCAGCACACACAGTTTGGCATCCAGGTTTACTTTGCTTTACCCTCCACACACAATTTGGCGTCCATGTGCCCACTGTCTTGGCATCAGGTCCAGGTATGGTAGCGGTAGCTGTGAATATCAACCTCTGACAGCTGATCAATCTAATTTAACAGCTAGTCAACACGAATTTAACTTGCTGTCTTGTGCTGTGTTTCGCAGTACAGGGCTTATGCAACTCTGACCAATGCTCCCACGGAGCCCCGATTCAAAGTGTGTCACCACTGGGATCACGTGGCGGCTTTTGCTTCTTATTGAATTGTTCTGTTCCAAATTATTTCCAAGCAGGGGGCTAGCGGCTTAATTCTCAACGCTAGCCAACGAAGCTAGAGAAATTAGTGGATGAGTCTGTGGACGCACAGACTTGTACCTACTATCCTTTGACTTTCAATTCCTACTTGGCCCCGTACCTAACTAGAACAAGGCCTTTGGCGTGTGAGTGTGAGTGTGAGCCTGTGTGAGTGAGAGTGAGAGAGTGAGAGGGCACTTTGTGAACCTCGAAGCGCAGATCTCTGCTGTGTGGAGCCTAACGACGAGAATCTGATCGGCTCGCCCAGAATGGTTCGTTGCCTCGAGTTCAACCGCTCAGGACCCAACAGCCAAGATCTCAGATACAAGACCTCAGATATATCACATCGGCTGCACATATACCACTGGCGTGCTACGCTTGTTTGCAAGTCGCTCTCGAAATGCTGAGGCTCTGACAATCTGAGGTTCAACGCTCAAACGGTAGTCCCTTGTGTCGCGATCTGCTCAAGCCCAAAGCTGCGACAAGAGACACAATTCGCTTTCGATGCTCCCTTTTCAATCTCTTCTGCTTATCTTTCTTTCTTAGGATTCCTATTCCTTTTCCTTTATCTTCCAGATCTTTCCCTTATCATACCTTTGTCTACTTTCGCTTACATGCCTTTCTTGCAGAATAATCAACAACACATTTTGGGCAGCTGTCTCCTTGCCACAGCATCCGAAGACTTTCATGCCGGGCCCCGAACCTGGCTGGAACGGATCTTGAGTGGAAGTCTTCTGAAGGGAAGTCACAGCAACCTTTGAGGTTTTTCTCTTCCTTTTCCTTCTGCTGAGCATGTTGTTCCGGTCTTCACCACATGGAAATATCAAAGGCCATGAGGCATCTGCTGGCTTCCGCTCTCCACCCTCCTTTGCAAATCTGACCACTTCTTGCACATCAAGCATCTTCTTGTAGCCATATTGTCGCTGCCCCTCTCGTCCTTGCCGTCCCTGCTTTGCTTCTTTGGCAGCAGGTATATAGTAGTTATATAGTAGTTGGTAGTTAGCACGCAGCATGCAGCAGGCAGCAGGCAGCAGGTAGGAGGTAGGAGGTAGGTCGGAGGTAGGAGGTAGCAAGCAGGGGCTGTACATAAACCGACCACTCTTGCCCTCGCCTGATTGTGCGAGGCAGCAGGAAGCAAGGCTATGAGAGCAAGACAAGCAGCTGCGGAAACTGCAAGGCAAAGAAAAAAGTAACAAATGCATACAAATGCTCAAATTGCCAAGCCCAGGGGTCATAAATGGGTCATAAATAGATGTATTGTCATACGAGCCGATTCCAATCCCATGGATGGTCCAAAAAGTGTCGAAGACAACGTGAGTTCCCACCTCAGAAGCCATATCTGCACCAGGCTGGAGGTGAGGACATGCTCGGATCTTCGAGTTCTAAACAGTTTCGCCCAAGTCCCCCCTGTCCGATCCCGATCCGCTCGGGATCGGTCCGGCTCTCTGCGCGGTCTCCTCCCCCCACCGAATCTCCTGGGCCCCGTCGATCCGTTCCTTCAACCCCCAAGAGAGGTAGTTTAGGATTCGTTCCTTCAACCCCTATCGTGACCGTAAATAGGACCCGGAAAACCTGGGGTACCGTGGCCTGGGATAGTGAGTCACGTTCAGGTCCTCCTTCCACCTCTCTTGGGAAGGCCAACCCTGCGCCCCAGTCGCTGTAGTTCGTGTCCGGCGCCAGCGCCTGACCGGTCGACCGGTCCGGTCCGACGAGGGCGACGGAAACGGGTCGAGGGGAAGGGAGCGGAGCGCGTGCGTCAGAAGAGGGTGCGTTTCAGACACGGTCGGGTGGGGATGAAAGAAGGACAAAGCTTCCTGAGTCCTCCAAACTTCCAAACTTGGATTCAGAGATGATGATAACGAGATGGTTCACTTACTGCAGCGAACTTCAGGTTGTTGGTTGATGTTTGTTTCCCATTTTTTGGGGGGGTATCGTATCTCATTGCAAAAAAGTAAAAGCATGTAAAAGCCCATCGAAGGGTTGGGTGGGACGTGTCCTTTCCCTCCAAGTGCTTTGGTGGACAAGCCCTGAAACAGAGAAGAAACTCGAGCTGCGTCTTCCTTTGCCGCTTCGATGATGGTCTTTTCCGAGAGGATATCTCCATGTTGACTGTTGATTCAACAACACCCCCTCTACAGGATGCCACATCTCCATCTAAGTGCTGGGGTGCTCTACTGGCAAAAGTCTTGCTTTTCTTCGCGCCGCGACTTCCCTTCGTTTCCCTTCGTTTCCCCATTTGACCTCTATCCTACTACTCTATCCCACTTAGATCCCTCCTTAGATGACCTACTTATATAGATGACTCTATCCTACTTAGATGTTCTTAGATGACTCTATCCTACTTAGATGACCCTCCTATTCTCACACATCACATATGGCGCCTCATGAAGTTGCTTCACCACCTGCTTGGTCTTCGGATCTTACAGGCTTCTCCTTCTTTCTCCTTCACGCCCATCCACCGCCAGGCCGCCAGGCCCTGAGGCGCCGTGAGGTGTGTTTCTCCTGGTTTCTCCATGACGTCTACCCATCCCATCCGCCTCCCATCTCACATCCTCCCATCTCCCTCACCGCTCTCCCGCGCCAGCGCCGACGCCAGCGACGCCAGCGACGCCACCCACCCAGCGACCCGACGCGCTGGCTCCGGAGCTCTCCGCTCTCCGCTCTCTCGCCTCCCAGATGACCAGCTCCAAGGTGCCAATGCCTTCGTTTCCGGTGGAAGCACCACGGTTTCAACCGTGGAAGATGGAGGATGGACCGATCTCGGATGGAGGATGGGCGGCTGGAGATTTCCAAAACTGGCAGCGAACAGATGTTAACATTGGGAAGATGATGCTACTCCTCCTTGTGAGTCTTGAGAGACTGTGAGTTTTCAACAGAGGCGCATGTAAGCATGTATAGTATGTGTGAGGTGGTGTGCCTGAGCTTGTCTAGATGTGAAGTTGCTTTGTAAACATGTTCCTTCAGTGTACCTCTGTAGGATGTTGACTCCCTCCTGTGTCTGTAGGCTCCGAAAATCCTGTTCCACGTGCCGATTTTCGAATGAGCTCCTTCACGCAGTGCCGAGAAAAAGGTCCAAACCCGGTCCCGAACCCCGTTTTCGTCATGTTCCCGAAAACCCGCGCAAGGCCAGACCTGACCTCGCTGTTTCTCGGCAGAGAAACCGTCCGCAGCGCCGGTCACCCCCGCCATCAAGAACATCGGCGTTCCGCCGCGGTCAGACGGTGTGCGGTGCCAGGCGCGCCTCGGCACGTGGCGTGCGCCGTGGGCGCTGCCGTGAAGCGGCTGGGCCACAAGACCACAGCGCCTGGCAGCGAGGATAGGCGAGGAGGCCAGCGCCGGCGCGTGCGGCGAAGAGATCCAAAGGGGGGCCCAGAACATGGACTCACTTAGGGGACAAAACAACACCCCGTCTTGCGACTCCTGGGAGAGGTTGAGATCAGTTGAATCTTTTTGGGGAAGGAGAAGGATCATGGCATGATCATGGCATGATCCACATTGTAAAAGAACTCCCTCGTGTCAGGAATGTGGTGCTGTTTTCGTTCGCTCGTGGACTGCGGTCGGGGCAGGGATGTTGAGATTGAGGTTCAGATTGATCCGAGCTGCTTCCAACTTGAGGTATGGTGAGGTGCTTGGGATGTGAGGATAGGACAGCATCCTCCGGTGGCCTTCTTCATGAATGAACATACCACCACCACCACCACCACCACCACCACGAAAGGGTGGTTATTTAATATATTGTCATTAAATATTACCATTATTAAACTATATATTACTAGTCTGTTTTCATTGTCGTCTTTTTCTGTTGTGTCTATTTCTATAGACAAAAAAACAAACAGTCAGGAGGGTCTGTAGACCAGAGAGGGTGGTCTATTCGACCGAACATGGTCTACTTTCTCTTTTTGGGCCAGGTCCCGTGGACCCGTGGACCCTGAACACAACATGTAGACATGGATGTCGCTGAACAAGTTCGATCCAGCCACCTGCAGGTATTCTAATCATCCTGGTTTGCTATTCGGGTGGAGGCCATCGCTAGTAGGACAGAGGCCATCGCTTCTAGGTAGTCATCGTTTCCATTGACTCGCTCAAGATCGTACCTTCCCGGCATAGGAGGCTCACTTGCTCAGGGGCCTCAGGAAATTACGGGCTCCCCACGGCGGCGTTGCTTCGATCGAAGGGATGAAGTCATTGGAACGGCATGTGCGGTCACCGCAGGTTCGGTGACCCATCTCCCTTGGGTCAAACGACCCATCTATCTACCGCCCTTCCTTCACCCCCGCATCTGACATGGTCCGATGGTCATGAGTCATCGTCTGACAGGGCCGACGTCTCTTTCTAGTAGGGTTTCAGGTCATGGACCTTGCCCCCGACTGTGACGGGTTTTTTTTTGGACCAACCACAGACCCTTTCAGCATCCCTCGTCTTCAATGCGGCGACCGCTGAAACACATCGCTCCGTTCGACGCCGAGGGTGTCCGGAGAAAGCAGTTCTGTTCCTGGAAGTCAATTGACTGGTCTTCTGCCCTCAAATGAGCTTGCTAAAATGGTGGAAATCATGATCAATCACCAGCAAGCAAGGACAGCAAGCATCAGAACCACCAGGAAAAAATGAGGAGGACTCTGATGTAGAGTCCCAGCAGAAATCAATAGATACAGAAAGCAATCCTCTTTGAACATCTATTGCAACGGTTGTCTCCATATGGCTGTGGGCCACGCACGAGTGCTCAATGGAGATGTTTCACTACGCAACCAACGCAGAATCGATTCGGATCACCTTCGCACACCACGCACTGCACTGCAAAAAAGGCCGAGGAAAACGATCGAATTGTAGACTCTGTCTATGATATTTCAATCCCCCTCCATGAAAAGTTGTTTTACAATCCAGGTCTGGCATTTTTTTCATCAAGAGTCTATGTAGGCACATTGCTCTTTCCCAAGCAGCTGCAGCTAGAGTAGGTCCCTTTGGGGATCCCTTTTGAGATCATCGTTTTCTGAACCACCCCGCTTCTGATCCTCCAACTCATCCCCCCCCTGCTGGCAGAAGACTTCCTCATGTGAGGTGGGACACTGAGTGAATGCCACGACGGTCTGGTCTTCAAGAGTTGGGTTCTCACAAGTGCATGTCCTTTTCAAGTCGTACCAAAAGTGACGAATGAAAGTGACAGTTACCATTTGTTCAGACCTTTTGTTGCTTCCGTCCATGAAACACATCCACGTCATCCAGTTCGGTTTTAATTTGTGTTCGGCCAGAAAGACCCTCTTATGCTACAGCTGCTACGCCCAACACCTGTTCCCCAGCTTTAAGACAAACATCTGACTAACAAACCTACCAACAGAGGTGGGTCAGGACCTGAACCTTCGACTATCCCAGTTCGGTACCCCAGGTGGCGGGTCCTATTTATGGTCACTTAAGCTACCTCTCTTGGTACGGCTCCCCTGGGCCCTCACATACAGCCGCACGTAGACCGGCAGCCCCAAGGCCTCGCAGGCCGGTCTAGCGGCGCAGACGAGGCAGTTTCGACAAGTGGTGCAAAGGAAACTCAGATCCATTGGGAGACCAAGGAAACCAAGGGCAGCTTCCCCCCCCCTGGAAGAAGGAGGAAGTCCAATTTCAACTCACTTGGTGATCGGCTGGCTCCACTCCCCAAGACTCGATGAATGAGGGGTGTTTCACGCCTCATCCAGCAACACTGCACTGGAACGTCATACCCAATACAAGTGCTCCGAAGAGGTGTCATAATTCATCAATTGATGTCTTGTAATCAGGTGCTCTTCAGGTGTTTCTCTTGTAAGCCCCATATGAATCATGTCTTGTAAGTGGATTGGTGTCTTCTTGTAGGTGGAATATTCCACTTACAATGATGCTTGAATATTGACCTTACAATCCATGATGAATTGCTGGTGGATTCATTCCGAATGTTGAGTCATTCATATCCACTTACAAGCGGATTTCGGAATCGACCTGTTCTTGCTCTTAACCTGCTGTCTGCTTCCCTTTTTGGGCGCCCTCAGCACTTCAGACCGGCCAGTGAGGGTACTGGTACGCGTCCAGCCACGCGTCTTCCCGTAAGTGCTGCCGGTGCGTGAGGGGGGGGGAAGAGACTCAGACGAAACCGGTGATCAACATGAAAACCGCTCCTACGCCGGGGGACCCAAACAACGGGGGGCCTTTCTTTCGGCCTGAGCTGGTGGGACACAAGTCCTGGGAAGTGTCTGGCATGGTTTCCGCGTGGACGAAGGACAAAATCGTTCTTCCCGACCTGTCCATGTGATTCATCCATTCTTGGTTCAGGTCAACGCCCCTTCACAACGAAACATGTGACAAGACGTCTGCGGTTCGGCCCTGTTCACGAAACATCACAAAAACACGAACCGCAGCTCCATGGAGCAAAGGGGTGAAGCGAGTGGACAGTTATATGATGTTATATGCTGCTCTAGCTTGGAGGCCATCGCTATTAGAAACAAAGGGAGGAAAGAGAAAGGAAGACATCCAGGACACCCTAAGGGGTGGTGCATGGGCGCCTCGAATCACCTCAGCTACACCTGAGCTACACGCTGTGACATCGCGAGCGGCGCGCCAGCAACGAGAAAAGCCAGCCGGCAGCGCTTACATCCCCGGAACTCCGACAAAGGTTCCCGTTCGACTTCCGTTCAACCATTGAAAAAACATGGGAACGACTCTGGTGTTTGTATAGTGTAAAATCCTTAGTGAAACAATGGTTGTTCGGGATGACCCGCCTATGAATTTCATGGTGGGCCAGGAAGTCTACGGGGAACTCCGGAGCTCCGGAGCTCCGGAGCCACTTTCGGCCCATGTCTTCATGACACCGGAGGAACCACGATGTGACCTCGATTTTGGACCACCAACCACCCAAAGGATGGGTCTTGTCCGATCAAAACAGAGGTCATGTCTGGATTCACGTCTGGGTTCTAGGTCTGTACTTCCGTTCAGGGTGACCTGGACAAGCCTACGCTGCTGGAAAAGGTCACCAGACAGGAAGCGCTAGGTCGAACATAGAAATGGCATGAAGCTCGCAATCTGAGACCTTGGTTGGAAAGTCTGGTGCCCTGAGTCCTGAGAAAAACCCACCAACAACCGCCAAGCGCACACCGAGCATGTCCTGCTCCTTCGTTTTCTATCTTCTGAACCTCCCTTTCAGAGAGTAGAACTGGGTGCAGGTCATGATTCTCAGGTCTGTTCCCAAAATGAACCGACCTCGACGTCAGAAGGATGAAAGGGCCTCCCCTATCTGTTTGCCACCACCTTCGATGCGGCCAGCCCACGCGAAAAAGAAGCACGCGGCAAACAAAAGAAACGCCTGGAACGAGGAGATGGTCACGGCTAAGGTGGACTTGGCACCTGGAAAAAAAAAGAATCGTTGTTCGTGCACCGACTTCACGGGTCACCAATTGAAACCTGTTAGGGCTCTTCCCAACCCATTTCGGAGACCTGTTGGGTTCGGTACCACACACGTGCATCTCAGATCCAGGGCTTCAGCCCTCAAGTTCGGGTCGACATGGCTTTCCCCAGTTCCCGAACCAGTTTGGGTCGAACGAACGAACCTGGGAGGCTCGTCCCATGCAGTTTCGGCTCCTACACAGGTCCGGCAAGAAGGTCCGGCAAGGTACCCCGAACCCTCGAAGCGAAGCCCGGATCTCGCCTCGATCGTGTGGGTCGTTCCATGTCCATTTCTCCCGTTCGAGTCGGAGTCGGAGTCGGAGTCGGAGTGATGTGGGAAGGGCGGATGGGTGGTTGGTGGGCAAGAGTTGCTTGGTTGGGAGAGAGAGTACTCCTCAAGGTACTTTTGGTACTTTTGCTTGTACACGACAAGCATGTGTCCGTAGAACCCGTTCTTTCCGTCCTTTTACCCTCAGCTTTTTGACGCAGACACCTGGAGACAAGGAGAGAGGAAGGTTCAGGTAGTCCAACGCCAGGTCGAAGGTCTCTGGCCAGAGCGGATACCTTGCCAATCAGGACGACCCAGGACGCCCCGTCGAACGACGTGAACGGTTGCAGAAGCGAAGCTTCAAAAAACACGAAAAACGTGAAAATACGTGAAATATAACTCATACCAGCACCCTCCAACAGGTCACCAATTGAGGCCTGTTAGGGTCCAACAACCCTCAACTAGCAGCCTGTTGGAGGGTGCTGGTATATATAGATGCACCCGACTTCACAGGTCACCACCTGCGACTTTGATGTCTCCATTTCAGCCACCATGTTGGAGACCGGCCTGTTGGATGGTCCTGGTAGATGCAATGCTTACAAACCATTCCAATGATGACCTATTTTCCAATGCTTTGCAAAGCTTACTGGTCTTTTGTTGTCCAGCTTTGGGAAAATAGGCCATCACGGCCAGTCCCCAGAAGGCCCCCAGCCAGACCGTTCGTCGAAGACTGCAACGAACCCGGACCCCACCCAGGGCCAACCCTCCAACCCGGAGGACGAAGGATGGCGGAAACCATGGTGGAATCCCAGGGCATGGAAACAGATGTTTTTTCTTACAAGAGACGACTGGAAAATGAACACAAAGGTGAACGGAATGTCCGCGCGTGCTGCACACCCATGGTCCTGGTGGCCGGCTTCTCCAAAACGCTTGGGGCCAAAATCGCTGCTGTTCCATCCCCCCGAAACCTGACCTCCTCCTCCCCCCCCCTCAAACGCCACACCGAAGACGGAGCCTTCACACCGCTAGTCCTCCGGCTTCCGACCCTTGCTGGCTCGTCCACGCCGGGCGGCCCTGGGATCCACCGCGCCGTGGCGAGCCGCGTGTGGTTCACGTCCTCGAAGCCTCGGAGCGAGCCCCGCGGACGCGACGAGGTCGACGAGGTCGGCGAGGTCGGCGGGTCAGGGTCACCCGCAGGGGGGGAAGAGAGCGGCTGGGCGTCGGCGCGGCGGCGCTGAAGAGCGCAGCGCGGCAGAGCGCAGCGGTCGAACGACAGGTGGAACGTCGGGTCCACGCGAGTCCGTCCGTGAGGTCAAGAAGTCTGCGTGGCAAGATGCGGAAAATGCGAGAAATGTATAGAAATGTAGGGAGAGAAAGGCCACAGGTACTTGTATACAGTTCCTTTTCTGGTAGGACTCGGTAGGACCATTCTGTTTGACAGTTCGCTCTTAAAGCGGCTGGTTCGATTCATGTCAGATAGCAAGATGGCTAGGATAGGGCTATGGCTGGCTCTAGCATAGAGGCACCCCAAAAGCCCCAAAGTCATACACTCCGAGTCACTAACAAGGCTTTTCTGGATGGCATGGGCCTCGAAAGGAAGACGATGGTCCACACAACTGGGGTAGTTTCCACTTCCATGATGTGTTCACCGGAGAGTGTACGAGGCTTCGGTGACAGATGTCGGGTGCTCTGAATGAGTTTTGACTCCACTACCCATGCCAATGTCAGGTCCAGTCTGACCTATGTAACAAATTGGATCCTGAAAATCTGGAGTCGTGCTTTTCAACGAGTAACTCCACTAAACGAGGTAAAACGGCGCTTCATTCCAAGACATGCAAAAAAGAACGCCCCCACGACCAATTCCAACCAAGGTGTGAGCCCACGACGTAAGAGTCTTGTCCCCAACAGAGCCAATGCACATATGTTGCCGCCATTGATTTCTTGGTGACCCACTATACGATCTATATGACTTTTGCACACGTCTTCAGGGGCTTTCACCCTGCTGCAGCTTCCAGTCTTCAGACCGGGAGTGGGCGCCCCGCACTCCACGCCCCACGCCCAAGCCACACGCCCCCGCACCGTTCCGTCTGGTGCGCTCCGGGAAGCTCAACCTCCACCAGGGCGTGGCCTCCGACGCGTTGCCGAAGAGCGACGCCTCGGCGTCCGGGCGGGGAGGCGGGCGGACCGCGCTGGGCCTGGAGCGACTCGACCTCAGTCGGTCGCGAGGGAGCTGGGTGGGGCGGATACGAACTTCACCTCGAGATTCGAGCTATTTAATACCCAGACACGACCTGTCTGGGACTGTCATAGGACTGCCGCCCCAGAGGTCGACCTTCTGGTCACCACCCCGGTCGGCTGCTTCGAGAGGCAGTCCGGACTGGCAGCCCCAGACAGGTCGTGTCTGGGGTATACACAGGTCTATGTCCATTCTTGGAGGTCGGAGCGGCTGGGAGGTCTCCCAAATGACTCCTACCAGCACCGGTGAGGTGGGGAAAGACCATCGTTCAAGGGGTACTTTTTGTATAGACAGAGTCGTCCAACTCTGCATGTCAGGTCTGCGGAACTTGGTTTTGTAGATGAAAAGGCATAAATGTCTGCCTGCATGGTTGGAAGATTCAGATGTACAAGAAGAATGGATTTCAGTGCTGAGACCGAGGGCCCAGATCAGGCTGGCGAGATTCACCTGGCGAGTCCAAGCTTTTGAGTACGATGGTATATGCGCCCAATCTACCCTTACATGAAGCCAAAGAAGGACTACCTCTGGAGCACCAACCAACCATTTCCATCCATTCCCTAAGGTATTTTTCCATTTTTTCCCATCAAAAGCAGAGGTCACGTATGGTCAAATGAGCTCGAGGCTCCTCTGGGTCATCCTTGCCTCCCTTGCCTGTGTCACCTTCCCAAGGCACCTGGTCCTCTTCGTCCGGCACCCAAGAGCCTAACGCTCCCGCGCGGCGCGCTGGGTCGCGCTGGTGCCGGACATACGACCCTGAAACCCATCCGATGGTTTCCGGATAGACGCAGAAGGGCAGAAGGGCAGGGCAACTTATTAACCATACCAGCACCCTCCAACAGGCTGCTAGTTGAGGGTTGTTGGACCCTAACAGGCCTCAATTGGTGACCTGTTGGAGGGTGCTGGTATATACTTAACGTCCATCTATTCCAGCAGTCACAGGTCGCTCGGGGTGCCGCTTTCGAACGGAGGAAGGAAGGAGAGGAGGTGACGGTGCCCAGAACATCCATCCATCCATCCACGGCCCCTGGATGGGATCTCAAAACCATCCCGTCTGACGTGACTCTCCCGTTCGTTGACATACCTTCTTCAGGTCTCCAACCAGATTTTTCTGGGAGGTGATGCCACACATTGGAAGCTTTCGAAAAGAAAAACCCGGGAGACGCTAGTGATGAACGATGTCTATACCCATTGAAGCTGTCGAGATGAACAGGAAGATGCGATGAACAAACGCAAAAACGACGACCCAGCGCGCAAGCGAGCTGGGTGGTCGCGCCATTCTTCAATCATGCAGGAAAAAAATGAACTAATCTCCACATATATCATCACGTATCCAATATCCATCAACGTTCTAGGTCTTTCTAGGTCCTACGGGTGAAGCCTTCAGTGCCCAGAAAAGCTGTTTTGGGTCTCATCCATCAGTGCAAAATCTGTGAAATAGTGCTCCCAAGGTGCGGAGCAATGCTGACATCCCCCCCTAACATCCCCCTAAAAGGACATGAACCTTTTTTGGGGTTACGCTCCCATGCTATCTATAGGCAGTACCCCCCAACACCTCCATGACTCCCACTGCCATCCACAAACCCGTGCCAGTCGAAGTCTCACCCGTTCCCGTGCCGGTTGCGTCGCGGCACCGGGGAGATGCTGCACTTCCAGTTCCAAGCGATAGGTCACGGCCGGCGAGAACTCCTCGACCGGTGAAACACGAAACCGGTGGAAACCTCGATGGGTTTCACCTCCCAAGAGAGGTAGCCAGTGACCTGAACTAGGACCTTACTGGGGTACCGAACTGGGATAGGCTAATTATAGGGTCCTTCAACCTCTGTTGGTCTCGTTCGCTCGCGGCAGGTCGGAGGTCGGGTCAGGTCGAGGCGACCTAAGAAAGCCTGGAGCCAGCCTTTTGGTTGAGGTGTTCTCACCCAAATAGGCCAACAGAGGTAGCCAGTGACCTGAGCGTTCGGACCCGGAAAACCTGGGATACCGTGGCCTGGATAGTCTGTGGGGGGTTCTTCAACCTTTGCTGGGAGCTTGGAAGGCTCAAAAGAAAACCGACCAAAAGGGGTCCTCCACTACTTCGTTCCTTAGTCGTTCACTCCCAAATCCGTCCCTTCAGTGATGATCCTGAACGGTGCTTCGACTTGGCAACCATCCAACCACTGACTTCGACTTGGCCATGCCAAGCGAAACCATTTGACCTGTGGCTGTTCTGTTACCAGTATGCGCGAAGTTCTCCCCCAAAAAAAGGAACACCGACAAAATAATACCATCTTGCGTGGCCAAAAAAGGGGAGACTGGAGATCCATCCATTCCAGACCCGCACTTGCTTTCACATCTTTCACCACGAACCACCCCCGGACCCGGCCACCCCACGGTTCAACCGGCCCTCGGCACCTCTGGCAGCACGGTGATCTCCACGTAGCGCTCGCGCGGCGCCCAGCAGCGCCACTCGGAGGGCGGGCCTGGCGCCTCACTCAGCGCCCGCAGCGCCAGCCGCCGGCAGCGGAGGACTGGCAGAGGCCGCGGACGAAAAGAAGAAGGGGAGCTGGTGAAGTGGGTCATGCTGGCTGTGAACCCCACTTCAGCCCCGTCTGACAACTCTTGGAGCTGCTCTTCTCGGCCCACATCGGTGCGGATCGGACCGAATCAGTCGGGAATTGACCAGCATCAGTCCCATGCACTCCATTGTAGTAAGAATCATATGCTTAGACCTACCAGCACCCGAACTCGGCCAGGCTGTTAGTTGAGGGTTGTTGGACCCTGAGACCAGGTGAAACCATTGGTGACCTGTTTGTCGTCGGGACCTCTGTTTTGATCGGGAAAAGACCATCATTTGGGTGGTTGGTGGTCCAAAATAGAGGTCACGTCTGTATAGTACATAACATTGACCTCCGGCTCCCAAACCACAACCACAGACAGGCCGTTTCCCAGGTGTCAGACAGGGGCCCTTTTCCCATTGGAAAAAAGCCATATCTCAAAGCACCAGACATGGCACAAGTGCATACAAGTGCTGCCAAGATGGAGTGTTCGCCATGGATGGAGTGTCTGTCTCAAAGTCCAGACATGGATGGAGTCGTCGTTTCGCGAAGTCCAGGCGCCCGCGCCCCACCCCACTCCACTCGACGACCGGTTCGCATCCGCGAGTCTAGCGCCTCATGCCCTCCGTGGGGGTTTCCCGCCACGCCCTCGCGCGCGGTGACGAAAGCGCCTGCGGTCTCTGGCCCGACCAGGACCACGTGACCGGCGCCCGAGGTGTACGGCCTCCGCGGCTTCAGCGGTTCGGCCGACAGCGGTGTCCGGGCTCACGTGTAGGACCGGGCAGCCATGCGAGGCGGTTCGGTTTTGAAGAGAACCCCCAGGCAGTGACCGACCCAATAGAGGTCATCTGGAAGCTGCAAGCACTGTGGGAACCTTCTGAAGCTGCTGGATGTGTCCTATGATTCAGTGAAACCGACTCGAAGTCTGATGCATTTGTTACTAGACTTCCAGGTGGTTAGCTCTGGCGTGCACAAGCAAAACCACGCAAATCCAGGCACATCAATGGTTTATCGAATCTAGACTTTGACTCACTGACATGCAAGTGGAGTTCACCCCCTGTTTTTTAGACGACAGTACTCTTCCAGGCTCCCATTTTCCCATCACATCCACTTCACCCAGTGATGTGTTCGTCAGTGCAATGGTTTTCCCCCCAGGCTTTCCGAATCCTTGAGGGTGTATTCCCACAAGTAATAGACCATGAAAGGCAACGGGGGTCCACCTGACATGTCAGGACCTTTGGAGGGGAGATAGAACGATCTGCGACGTCCCAAGGGTCTCAAAAGCGAACCGACGGTTGGCATGTCCGAGACGGTCACCAAGTGTTTGTTCTCCTCTCCCGTTTCGCGATGAAGAAAGACATCAACTGTTCACACATCCTCCAACCAGGACCTTTCACCAGGCCAACCTGGTGACGTAAGTCCGGTGCTCAGGTTCACCAGCTAAGGTCTTTAGATCATTCTTTTCTAGTCTTTGGACTCTCAGGGCCTCGAAAAAAAAAAAAAGAAACATAACGTAAAACAATATATTAAAAACAAAACAAAAGAAAACTTTGGAGGCCCTGCCTGAAAGTGACGACCAGCAGCGTATCCCCCAAGATGGGGGGTGTGGCATGCAGCACGGGGAAGTGGCTCCAAGTGCTCGGGATGAGTCTCCTGGAGTGGGAAGTGGCTCCGTGGAAAACTGCCCGCAGGTTTGCTGGGGGTTTGGGTGGGATTCGGGTGGGAAAGGTTTGCTTGATGCGTAGTAATATTTCTTTATATGGAGGCGAAAGTTCAGGTTAACCGGATGTTTGACTTGTTCAGTCTCTTGATGCGTGCAGATCAGACAAATGGGTCAGTAAGGGCTCAGATGGGGGTGCACAACCTCTCTGCAAGCGGAGTAGTTGCCTTTGTTGAAGCTCAGAATCCTTGTGCAAATAGAAACATCCACCTTGTCTTCTTCGATCAGTTCCTGAAGATGTTCACTTGCAAAAACGAGGTGACCTTACTTGTGAATCTGATGTTTTTCCCTTTCACATGAGCATCAAGCCACTTTGCTTCACCATAACTCATCGGTCTCACAACCGAGGCCGAGTCCGGCCTGAGGCCTTCGGCCGATGGAAGTGGTTGGAAGGGCACGAGCTAAATGGATCCCAACCAGAAAGGACATCTCCCAAACTACTCCGGAAAAAAAAGTCATCGCATCTGAACCTCTGAACCATGAAGCGCTGGGGCCAGGGGATGATTCATTATTGGACACCCCTGGGCCCTGGACAGCCTTATATAGGGGGCCCCGGTGTAAAACGGGACAGTCAACCCCAAAAACTTCGATCTACCCAACGAAACTATCCCGTGAAGGGAATCCCATTCGTTGGGAATGACCGTCGTTCCCGCTCCGTCGTTACCGCTCCGGGACCCTCGGAACACCCAGCTCGGTGATAGGTCCCGAAGGTGAACTTGACCCCCACGCTCTCAGTGACACCGGACACCTTGAGGACGCGCTGGGCGGATGGAAATTGGGGTTGGAAAAGTCGAGATTCCCTGGCAAGTCAGAGGAAACATAGACATGCTTCACAGGTAGACTTGGAGGAGGTTTCATTGGTTTTGCTTGATGTCCTTTGCCAGTGGGTGTAGGCGGTACCCTTCTTTTGAGCCATGGCCAATATAGAAAACGGTCATCGTCCCCTTGCCAAGGGTCTTCAGTCTTCGCGCAATTGACTTGGGGTTGTCTTCCCCCCTTCAACCTCCTCCAAACAAAACAGAAGAGCTTACAATCCTTCTGGGACGATCTCTCATGTCCACTAGCCACTCCTCCACCTCTCAGATATGTTCACGGAAAATAATGTAAATCATATTGAAAATCCATCTCCAAGAGTTCCACCTTCTTGCTGCTGTATAGTGGTTGCCCCTGTTGTTTTTCATGTTTATCCTGATGTTCATGTTACGGTTCCATGTGTCTTCCGCGCCGGTCTCAGAGCGAACCTCGTTTTCTTCGCAACGTCCGACGAACGGGGCGCCTGCCAGGGCCCGGCGCTGTGCAACTCCAGGCGCCAGGTCGTCGGCACCGGCGCATGCGGCGCCCGGAGCTGCAGGGTGAGCGGATACAAACCATCGGCCTCGGCGCGCCGAACCGGTGACGCCGGCGGGAAGCACACGCGTAACGCGGTTTTCGCAGCGGTTTTTTCGCGCGGTGTTCGTGCGGTGCAGGTTCGAGGAGATCGTGCGGATTGGAGGTCAAGAAAGAAGATGGCCAGAATCTATTAGAGACTATTATATAGATTATATAGAGACATCTGTTCATATAAGCATAGATCATATTGGATCCATGAACCCTAGAAATCCAGTTCGACTAATTTTTGACCGACTGAAGGTTTCAGGACCTTCCGACCTTCGGGTCACCGAGTCAGACAAAGTCTTTGTATAGTGGACAAACGACTCCAACCACCCACAAACACCGAAAAAACGAAGCACTCAAACCACCCACCCCTTTCAACATCCATCCCCTTTCAACATCCATCCTCTCCTTGGTTCTGAAGGGGAAGGGTACACACCTCCATCCCCTTGCTTCCCTTCAGAACCGGTCGATCTGCCGCACTGCGCCTGCAGCCGCACGGCCGAGGCGTCCAGCGGCACGTGGCAGCTGCAGCATCCGGTCGCGCTGCAGCCGTCGGCCGACAGGAGCCTTGGTGCAGCGGAAAAAAGGGGTGGGTTTTAGGAGGAAAAGATTGTGTTTGCTGAGAAAACCCGCGGTTGGCCTACACAGCACACAAAAAAAACTAGACGACGAGTGGCCCGAAAGCATGTTTCATCACGTAGGAAGTCAGAGTGCGAGTTATCTGTTAAGTGTGCAGTGTGAAGTGTTAAGTCGAGTGAGTTGAGGTAGTGTGTGGGTCTCTGTGTGTGTATCTATGTCCGTGTGTATATGAGTCTCTGTCTGTGTGTGTCCGAGTAAGTTGAGGCAGTGCGTGGGTCTCTATGTGTGATGTGTGTGTGTGTGTATGCGTCCCTGTCTGTGTGTGTATGTCCATGTCTGCTGCTGCTAAAGGTCTTCACTGTACATATAGTGAACGAATTAGCGCGCAGGCCTCCCAAACCCCCCACCGGCACCAAGCGGTGACAGCCCAGCTCATCGTCGTGAGCATTTGGGCTGGTAAGGGGAGAAGCAGCGTGCACGCCTCCAGGAAATCTCACTGAAAAAAGCAAGCTGGAATGAAGCGTACTAAAGTTGTACTACAAAGTCGCCAGTTCTCATCTTCCAGCTCCACAGATTGCTCCGCGTACTAAAGTTCTACTACCAAGTCGCCAGTTCTCATCTTCCAACTCCCCAGATACTCCGCGTACTCAAGTTGTACTACCAAGTCGCCAGTTCTCATCTTCCAGCTCCCCGGATACTCCGCGTATTAAAGTTGTACTACCAAGTCATTGTACTACCAAGTCACCAGTTCTCATCTTCCCACTCCCCAGATACTCCGCGTACTAAAGTTGTACTACCAAGGCGCCAGTTCTCATCTTCCAGCTCCCCAGCTACTCCGCGTACTACAGTTGTACTACAAAGTCGCCAGTGCTCATCTTCCAGCTCCCCAGATACTCCGCGTACTCAAATTGTACTACCAAGTCGCCAGTTCTCATCTTCCCACTCCCCAGCGAGTCCGCGTACTAAAGTTGTACTACCAAGTCGCCAGTTCTCATCTTCCAGCTCCCCAGCTACTCCGCGTACTAAAGTTGTACTACAAAGTCGCCAGTTCTCAGCTTCCAGCTCCACAGATTGCTCCGCGTACTAAAGTTGTACTAGAAACTCGCCAGTTCTCAGCTTCCAGCTCCACAGCTACTCCGCGTACTAAAGTTGTACTACAAAGTCGCCAGGTCTCAGCTTCCAGCTCCACAGATTGCTCCGCGTACTAAAGTTGTACTACAAAGTTTGTAGTACAAAGTCGCCAGTGCTCATCTTCCAGCTCCCCAGCTAGTCCGCGTACTAAAGTTGTACTACAAAGTCCGCAGTTCTCATCTTCCAACTCGCCAGATACTCCGCGTACTGAAGTTGCGCTACAAAGTCGCCAGTTCTCATCTTCCCACTCCCCAGCTACTCCGCGTACTAACGTTGTACTACCAAGTCGCCAGTTCTCATCTTCCAGCTCCCCGGCTACTCCGCGTACTAAAGTTGTACTACAAAGTCGCCAGTTCTCAGCTTCCAGCTCCACAGATTGCTCCGCGTACTAAAGTTGTACTAGAAAGTCGCCAGTTCTCAGCTTCCAGCTCCCCAGCTACTCCGCGTACTAAAGTTTTACTAGAAAGTCGCCAGTTCTCAGCTTCCAGCTCCACGGATTGCTCCGCGTACTAAAGTTGTACTACAAAGTCGCCAGTTCTCAGCTTCCAGCTCCCCAGCTACTCCGCGTACTACAGTTGTACTACAAAGTCGCCAGTTGTCATCTTCCAGCTCCCCAGCTAGTCCGCGTACTAAAGTTGTACTACAAAGTCACCAGTTCTCATCTTCCAACTCGCCAGATGCTCGGCGTACTAAAGTTGTATTACAAAGTCGCCTGCATTTCGCGCCCGACACGCCCGATCTCCGCAGAGGGTTGCGCGCGTACAGACTCAAGCGCACTCTCGCCTGCATTTCGCGCACTCGACACGCACGATCTCCGCAGAGGGTTGCGCGCGCACCGGACAAATCGCACTCTCGCCTGCATTTCGCGCACTCGACACGCACGATCTCCGCAGAGGGTTGCATTTTCGGTTGACGCTGTTCGTCCCACCCTCCGCCTTTAAGAGAGAATTTATAAAGTGGGGAAATGTTTTTTCATTAGGACATCTCCCGTGCTAGTTTTCCATGCTCACACTTGCCTAGTCATTGCATGCTTGCATACTCATTGCATGCTTGCATACTCATCATTGCACTTGCATCATTACACTTGCATACTTACACTTGCATACTTTGACACTTGCATACTTTGCACTTGGATGCTTTCGCTCTTCCACTTACACTGGGGTACGTGTAGCGTTCATGTTGTAGTGCAAGTGTGGTGGAAGTGTCAGTGTGTAAGTGTAAGTGTCGAAGTGTCAGTGTTCAAGGGATTTTCCGGAAGAACCCTTCGCAATGCTTTCGGGAATAATGAGGCGAGGGTGGATGAGGACGGTTTAACGTAACTGGTCATTCACAGGGACCTTGGAACTACTCTAAGAAACGGAACCGGACCCCCCATTTTCCGAGCTGCCAACTGACTGCGGCACGCGGTCTTTTTCGGATTATGCCATGCCCGGTGTCGAACCCAACACTTGTGTATATCCCATAAGTGGTGGGTGAAAGAGTCCATCTTAGCATGACAGAAATGGAGACATCCTTTACAACTACAACGTTTTGGTATATCCCACCAGCGGTACAAAAAATGAACGTTTTGAGCCATTTTGGTGCGTCGCGTCGCCGTGGGTTCAAGAATAGAGTGACAGGCCTTGACCTTTCATGCTGAAAGAAAGAAAGAAAGAAAGTGGTACAAAAAGAGTCCATCTTCTAATACCTACCCCCCCAAACAACACCACACACACCGCACGGACTCCGAGGGTCGATCCGGTGCGCCCAAGTCGCTGGAGTCCCTCGGGCAGTTGCAGCGCCACGTGTCCAGGCAAACGGCTGCTGCCCACCAGCAGCGCGCCCAGCGTGAGCACCGCACGCACCTCGGCGGCTTCGCCCCGGACACAGCCACGGCGGCGAAGAACGGTTGGTGTGGACGGGGGGGTGTCTGGCGATCGTTAGGAGGTGTCTGGCGGTGAAGGAGGAAGCCAGACCAGCACCACCCAAAGAATGGTTATAGTCCAGGAGTCACAGGTGGTGGTTTTGTTGTCCCATCCAGTGAGTGGAGGGATAATGGGCACCGCTATGCTCCAATAGGCCCTCCCTTTGTGACTCCTGGGTTATATTAGTTATTGGATGGACATATATAGTCAGGAGGTGTCTAGAAACCACTGACCACCCCTCAAGGGTGGTGCTGGTATGTACTATGCGTTCGATCAGGTGCTGCAGGGGACGGCGAAAACGGAGATGACCTTAGATTCTGAATGATGTGCCATCTAAGGTCATCAAACTGCAGATTCTTGAGATGGCACATCTTGCAGATTAGGTTCCAACAACTGCAAGATGTGCCATCTACTCCGTCAAAATGTCCACAAACCCATCAACAACTCTCGAGTGTTGGGCCTAACAACGGCGTCTGGTTCGGCTGTTCTTCTCAGATGGCGTCTGTCTGGTTCGGCGGGATCTTGGACGCATCTGATCTCAAACCATTGCTTTGCAGAGTAGGAATGGTAGGCCCATGACATGAATCTTCCCCATACCCGACTGAAGTCCAGTTCGACGATATGTTCACCGGCTGAAGTAAAGGAAGTTCCCGAAATCAGTTCCCCTAGTCAGACCTGTCTTTTCCCTGGGAGTCAAAGACTACAAAAAGAATGGTCTTTAGGGGACCTGAAAGGGAACTTCCTTTACTTCAGCCGGTCAAAATATAGTCTTTGGACTTCTAGGGTTTTTATAGTCTTTGACTCCCAGGGCTCTCGACTTCATCAATCGAGCTGACCGCACCCGGTGACCGGAGCTGATGGATGGCCTCAAGGTTGACCGGGGAACCTTTGGTCACTTGTCTTTTTTTTAGTGCGGAAACCAATTCCAAAAAAGGTAAATGGTTATCCGCTGGTTGGGTATGGCCAATAGTCAACTATGTAAGCCAATAGTCAACCATGTTGAGATGGAAGGTAGAAACGCCTCACCATCCAGTCCACACAGCACACACCTGCAAACTGCAGAACACCCTTACAATAATTACCATGGTTGTCCTACTTCTCCCAGTTGCCGCAGACCTTCTTTCATCCACAGTGATCCACACGTCGCAGGCGATGCGGCGAGCGACGGTCAGGTCCAGCCCCAGCTGCACCTCGCCTGGAAGGAAGGGGGCCGTCGTAATGGATCTGTATGGAAGGAAACAGAAAAAAGAATGGATCCGCCTGGGACCCCAGTCCAAACCAGAAACAATTGGATGTTCCAATATAGCAATTGAGATCCTTTACATAGCAAGTGGTTGGGACTGTGGAATGGATCCCTTAATTTCTGGTTGGGACTGGGGTTCCAGGCAGGTACCGGGATGTACCAGGAGCCTCTTGTCGGCTGCTCTTTGGACGGTGCTGAACCGACTTGCCACCCAAAAACCAAACGAACGAAGGGTCCAGGGATGGTTCCTGACGTGACGTGTGGCACCTGACCGTGGAAAATGATGCAGTGAGACGGTGAGCTAACCAAACAAGACCACAGAAACATAGCACCGAACAAGAACAAAGCACGAATCGATCCATTTCTCCCCACCCATCCATATACTTATCTACACTACATCACCAAATTGGAACCTAAACGAGACTATGCTAATCATCCTTGTATCTTTCATTATTATGTTTTCTTATTGCCTCCTTCCATTCACCCCAACAAGAGGCCGCCCTCCACCACCATTCGTTCGGGCCCCGTCTTCCCACCTCCCACGGGCACCAGCACCAGTGGCCGTGCCAGTTGCGGTGTCACCGCCACCGGCAGCGCCCCGTCGCGCTGCGGCCAGACCGGCAGCAGCCGGCTGCGCACGCTGCGCCCCACGCCGCCTGCGCTCCGACCGAGCGCCGACCAAGGGGTCCGGTATACATCGCCTTCGCCGGCGTTGGGAATTCTTTTCCGGGAGACCAGGCGTTCCCAGATGTTGTTAAGCACAATGGCAGCCATTTCTGAAAAACGTCATCACATGCGTGGTACGCAATCCTGCACACCTCGACCAGGCGGCTTTCTACGAACAAAACCACCCGTCGCCTTGCACCACGAGGGCCAAACTCCACCAGCCGCTAACGTCAAAGAGGTTGGGGGCGGCACCGCCCTGCGGCGTGGCGCAGCGCAGGCTAATGCGGCCTCAGCCGGAAGAGCTTTTGGACTGGGCGGCGTGTTCGGTTGGATTTGTGGGCAAGTCTTGACTCTCCAAAAATCACTGTCTGGGAGCTAAACTCACTTTAAAATACAATGAATTCACCAATCAAACTTGTTTCTTTGGTTGAACTGGAGCTATTTGCCCGGACTCTATAGGGATCTCCCCCTACCCACGCCACGCAGAATTGTCGATCACGCCAGGATTATTTTAGACGTCATAGACTTGGGGGTCAGTAAAGCCCGAACCAATTTGACCCCACGGGCCAAAAACTGAGAGTTTTGGACTCTCAGGCCAGCCAAGGATGGTCCATTGAATGGGCAAGCTTCCCCCAAGATCCCTTGAAAGACCCGATTTGGCAGTCGCGATGGGGTAGCTTTTGAACACGTGCATGAAACAGCCCACCTGCTCCAGCAAATTCTCCGGAACACATTCTTAAACAGCCTAGTCCGGAGATGAGGTTCCATAAGATTCATAAGATTCCAATAAGAATCTCGGAGGCATCTACTTTGAAGCATCTGTCTTCTCAGGTAGATAACTTTGCAATCTTCAAAGAGTCATTGAACAGAGTGACATCATGTGATCACGCTTTACCGACTTGTGCGGCACGTGGGGCAAATCTTTCCGCACCCAAGAAGACCGAGCGGCTTTCCTCGGTGGAATCCAGATGATCGACCTTGAGGAAGACCGAAGGGCTCGGTAGGCCCGGACCTGCCGGCAGACGACAGAGCGGCGACGGCGAAGGGGCGAGGCGACGGAGAGTGAGGCGAGGGTGAGGCGACGGTGGGTGGGTTCACAGAAAAGCCACCGGAGATGGCTATCCGGGCTATCCCTTCCAAGCTCCACAAAGGATCTGCAGAACCTTTTCTCGTTGGAGCTTGGTTTGATGCTTGGGTCTGACCGGAGATGGGCGCTGGTTCATGGCACCGGGCCAACCAAGTGGACCATGTGTCTGTTCTTTTTTCTTAGGTAGCCAAACTGGGTGGACCAGCGAGACCAACAGAATAGACGATGAACAAGTCTCAAAGAGTCCTAGGTGCGGTGTCTTAGTGCGGGAGGTAGCACCCCAACACTCAACCAATGTGAACAATGCACAATGCTCAACAACCAAACTCGATGGTACACTTCTCGATTGTCGCCGACCGGTGGCGAATGACCATGCACGACACGTGTGCGAAAGGCGCCCCTTTTCTGAAAGGCTCGGACCCACCCTGCGGTTAGGGTGTCATGGTGCAAACGAAGGAGGCAAACAGCTCATGTGGGGTATGTCATGACATGTCATCTCGAATCTCTCATCACCCCCATTCCTGAGTTGTTTGCTTCCTTGGCCACTTTCAAATGGCCAACGGCTTTGTTCAGCCAAAATGGCGATTGCCGTGAAAAAGGATTCTTCCTGCTCTCGAATCTGCTTCTCCAACTCCTTCTTGCGCACCTTCCTGCACGACTCAAAGCTTGGATCGTGCACAAGCTTCCAGCGCTGCCCGTGGGCTAAAAAGGTCAACAACACCTTCCTGCTAGCCCACTTCGTTAGGCTGTCAGCCAGTTGTACACCTCCGTGGACCCAACGGAATTGGGTTCCGATGGAGCGTGCCTGATCGACACTGATCGTCAGCTCATATCCAGCTCGGGAGGATCGGAGGCCGTGGAGGCTCGAGACATTCCGGGTTGCTGCGTCATAGATTCCTCGGGTGTCCATGATCACCGCTCCTTGCGACATTCCTCGTACCATCTGGTACAGGTCCTCCTTTTTCTCAAACGTCTGGCCGTGGACTTCACACCACATGGCTCTGGTGTGGAACACAAAGTCTTCGGCCGCGGTGACTGACTGCACCTCGGCTCCGTTGGAGCCCATGACCTGTCTTGGGGTCTTGCTGGAACGCCAGTGTATCAACGACACACCATGTTCTTCACCTTGGAGAATTCCAGCTGGTGCAAGGCCGCCCACTATCCCCATGGTGCTTGAGGAGTCGGGCCTATTCTTTTGGCCGGCGTCGGCCCATGCTAGCACTGCCACTTGCTGCCAGGGAACGTGCCAGGGGTGAAAGACCAGTGACTGGCTTGCCTCACGCTTCATCTCGCGGATGAGCTTGTTGGTCTTGTGGACCATCTCGACTGTGGCCCATGGCAGTTCTGAAAGCAGCAGTCCTGCGTCAGCGAGGTACTGCGGCGAGGTCTGGGAAGCTCGCCAGGCGATGGTGCCAATTGCACCTCTCAGCATGGACACTTCATTGGCCGTGGCTGCTGACTTCCTTTGTTGCATCCGGGCTGCATCGAGGTGGATCTCCTCAATCCATTTGTCGGTGTACTCCTGTTGGTCCACCCGGATTTGGAAGTCTTTCGACTGCTTGATCCTGCAGCCGGTGAACTTGAAATCATCATACTCCCACTTGCCCCATCGGTAGGCCTCTACCAGTTCTTTGAAGCATCGTTCAAACTTCTCATGGCCGTCTTTTCCTCCGATGAGCACATCATCCACGTGGATCCCTGCAATGGAGATCACGTTCTTCTCTGGCGAGTCGTCGGTGAGGACAAAGAGGCATTTGTCGCTCTTCACCTGTTGCCATCCGATTCGGCGGAGAGTGCCTGTGAGGTGGTCAAACCATGCTCTGGGTGCATGTACAAGTCCATAGAATGCTCGCCGGATTCTCAGGGGCATGACTGGGTTCTCAGGAGGTGCTCCAAAAAGCACTGCAAGCTCTGCTGGCGCCCAGATGGTCAGCTGTTGGCTCTCCATGCACTGGTCGGCCTGAAGGAAAGCCGACGTGGCATCTCCTCCGCGGACGCGGAGTCCCAGGTTGGCGCATGCCGCCAAGATCATGTTCCTGGAGAGGCGCGACATGGTTGGTGATGCCGCTTCCACCTGGGTCAAATTCGGTGCCTGGTAGCCTAGGACCACCAACCGGGCCTTTGGAGACCCGTCTGACTTGGTCGTCAAGACCCAGCGCATCTTCATCACTGATGCGGGATTCAGGCTCAGGTGTTCCTGCTCCGTGAGGCAGCGAAGAGCCTTTGACTGGAGAACTTGGGAGAGCTCTTTGCACTGCGCTTCATCGAATCCTTTCTTTTCTTCCATGGTCAACTTTGACCAGAGCTTTTCTTTGCTCTTTTCTTGGACCTTCTTGGACATCCAGGCGGTGGCCCTGTTGGGATGATTGGCCAGCCATTGCGCTTCTTTGGGCGTCACCTCAATTTCGAGCGCATAGACCGCTAGGTCTTCTTCTTCAGCCTGGTTCTTGTCCTTGTCCTTCTTTCTTCTTTTCATTTCACGGTCAGGGACCATTTCTTCTTCTGAAGAGGATGAGCTCGAGGAAGAGCTCGAACTTGACGAGGAGACCTCTTCATCGACCCGTCCGTTGTACGGGTCCCATGTGAACCGCTTTTGGTTCGGGTCCTGATGTGGTCCTTCATGACCTCCGGGGAGCTGGCAGTTCTGGACTTTACAATGGTTTCCAGAATGGTCTGCAGGTCCGCTTACTGGAGTGCCAGGGATGCCATCAACTGCATCCGGACCACGTTCACGAAGAGCCTCTTGCAGGCTATCATCAGGCATGGGGATGATTGCTCCCGATCCTGTTGTCTCATTAGCTGCCGTGTCCTCTCCCTCGAGAGGTGTGGCCTTGGCCTTCTTCTTCACGGCTTTGCTTGCGCTTAATTTTGGTGCCCTCTTCTGCGGGCCACTGCTTGCTTGAGCAGATGAAATCTCAAACCAAGTTTCCCCTGTCCACCGTTCTTGGAGCAATCGGTGGGGATCCTCTGACTCTTTGTAGTCATCTTCAATCAGGACTTGGGAGGATCCTTCGATGAGGGCCTTCATGTGCGTCTTCCTCTTGCCGGTCAGTTGAGCCTCATCGATGGGTGATGATGTCACCCGTGCTGGGGAAAACATTGCCAGCCTCGGTGCGTTGTGCACCCGAATGAGCCACTTGCCTGGCTCGATACGCCATGTGTCTGGCTGGTTCTTGGCTGGCTCGAGGATCACCGTAGTTCCGGCAACGTCTGTTTGCTGCTGCTGTTCTGAGGGTGCTTCGCCGCAGATGTTGGTGTAGTGCTTGCCGGTGAAATCTCTTAGAAGGGACTCCAGTGTCACTGGCATTCGAAGGATGGCTGTCCCTTCGAGCGAAGCTTGCAGTTCTTCCCTCTTGGTGATCGCTCGAACTTGGTTTGTCTTGGCCTTGACGATGTTGGATCCTGTGGCCATCCAAACTGTTGTGCCTTCTTGGATGAGCACTCGCAAAGGACCCATCCAGTTGCCACCCACGCGTCCAGGACGCATCTTCTGCCGCCAAACCATCACCAGTGCACCGGGGTTGTACTTTGCAGGAGGCCTAGTGGTGGCATTGGAAAGCTTGCTCATGCGGATCTTTGCGGACTCGAGCTCGAATGCTGCTTTGGCTCGTGCCTTCAGCTTGAGCATTCCTTCGAAGGCTTTCTTGGGGTCCATGCCAACTGGAAGAGCTTCTTCTGGTGGATCAGCTCCCCTGGTCCATTGGAATGGGCTGAATCCATTGGGGCCAGTTGTCTTGTTGTGGGCATGGACGGAAAGGTCCATCAAGGCCTCGATGTCGAGAGCTGATGTCTCTTTCTTCAGGCGAGACAATGTGGCCTTCAGGAGGCCAATGCAGCCTTCTTCTGCTCCAAGCAGCCAGTGTGCTTCTGCAGGGGTGTTCATCAACCCGATGCCGCTTCGGCCCATGAAGTCGATCACCTCAGAGGACGTGTAGTACGTCGCCGGATCTGAAATGATCCACTTTGGCGTTGGGTTGTGTTGGAGCCATTTGCCAAAGGACTTCAGGACATCTGCTGCTTTGGGCTCCCAATTGCGAACTTGCCCGCCATAGATCTTCAGCAGGTCGACTTGGGCCAGGCCGCTTGCCCTATCCCGCCAAAGAATGAATTTGGCCTTTTGGGCTTCTTGGGATTCATGGTGATTGAACTCCACTTCAAACACGTCCGTCCCGACTTGCTCAAATAGAGCTGGAAGTTCACCTGTACTTGCAGGCGGAGCTGGCCGGGGCTTCTTTGCTTCGATGCATTCACTGCACCGGAGTTCACCTGCTAAGGCCACTGCCCAAGGAGGGGCGTTGCGGGCCCGTAGGAGCTGCTGCAAGTTTGCCATGGAAGGATGACCTGATGCTCGGTGGATACGGAGCATGGTCTGCTTGATTTGCTCCAGTCTTTTGCCTGTGGGCCTTTCTTCAGGATATCGCTGTCTCGTCAGGGCCAGGATGGAAGGCTCATCTTGTCTTGCTTGACCTTCCCAGCTTTGTTGGGATTCATCCTCATCAACTCCCAGAAGATGGATTTGCACGTCCTTGGAGAGGGAGACATTGGCCTTGTCTTCATAGGCCGTCCATGTGCCGATGATGGCCTTCACAGCCGCTTTCACCATAGCTGCGGGGTAGTAGGAGCTTGCCTGAGCGACATGCCCACGGCACTCCAGGTGTTCAGGGTGACCTGGACACTTCTTCTGAAGGGCCAACCATAGGCCTCGATTGGACGTCATGACTGTCCAGCCCTTCTTCACTGGGATGCCCTTGAAGGTGAGGCCGTATGCGCAACCGTGGAGTCGGCACCAGAACAATGGTCTTCCAATGGCTCTCATCTTGTCTTCAAGGCGTTTGATCGCCCTTGATCTCCAGCCCTTTGCTGCTCCGGTTGGCCATTCCCAGGCGAAGTCGTTCTCGTCATCCAGGGTCTGGCAGATTGCTTGGCTCACCTCATCAGCGCGCTTGAGATCACGCTGCTGCCGCTTCTCGAAGTTTGCTTGTTCCTCAGGAGTACGAGGAGTGAGGTGAGTGAGGGATGACAACCTGGTGCATGGGAGGCTCACCCATGTCATCTTGGGCTTCAGCTGCTTCATGCTGGTGGTCAGCTTTTCTGTGCCAGACTTCTTGTCGAGGTCGAAGCCCTCCAGATAGTTCACTCTCTGGATTGAGTAGCCATTTGCTTCCATCTCAGTGCTGAGTGCACTCGTGGCTGAGCATGCCACTTCCATGAAGTCCACCGTTCCAGCCATCTGGGTGAGCAATGACTGCATTGGGGCCATGATCATCGCCCCAAGGATGGCTGCCTTCATGGACATCTTCTTGGCCAGAGATGGAGGCACTATGTTCTTGCTGCTTGTCTGGCTCTTGTTGTAGGCCCATGCCGTTGGGCTTGTGCTCCAACTCTCCGTGGGATGCCCGTGCGTGTCCCGGAGAGTCATATGGCTGGGTTCAGCCATCAGGTTCGTGGTGTGTGTCGTGTTGCTCGTTGAGCACGTGGTGCATGCCGTGTTGCCGTAGTGGCCCGTGGTGCTGCTCGTGTGGATGCTTGCATCCTGCTGTGGATTGAGACCACGTGAGGTCTTTGCCGTGCTGCCTTCCGCTGCTGCTGAACCGCTTTCGGAGCCCATACCAGCTCCAAGGCCACGACTCTGCAGCCTGGTCAGCCTTTCTCGCAGGCCCTTCAGGGATCGCCAGATGCCTTGCCCTTCTCCGTCGGGGCTTCCCATTCTTCCTCCTCCGAGTGGATCATCACCACTTCCGGGCCGTCCGGAATCATCTGTGGCGTGCCCTTCGTGACATCCAGCTCCTTCTCCTTCTTGGCGGCCAGGTAGCCCTTGATTGCCATCTCCTTGATCTCCTTCTCCAACGGGCCTTCGGGCAGAACGCCCTTCTTCTGGCTGGCCTTCTTGGGTTCCGGACTTGATGGAACCTCGCTCGGGCTCGATCGGGCAGCACTTGATGGAGCCTTGGTCGATGGAGTCATTGGCACTCCATCCATTCGGCCAAACTTCTCCAGCCTCTGGTGGTACTCGTCCAAGGTCATGTTCAGCTGGAGGGGCGTTGGAATGCCCATCTGAAGCATCTTGCCTTTGATCTCCATCATCTTGCCATTCACCACGTCCATCGTGACCTCGCTGGCTTCCATGCTCTTCTCGATGTCGGCCAGTGCCAGCCGAATGATCTGCGGGTCTGGACCCATCTGCCTCGTGCCACCGTGCCCGGCTTTCTTCGTCTGGTACTCCAGGCGAATCCCGCACTTGAGGCATACCACCCAAGTGGCATATTGGTTCTGCCTCGTCTTGCCCTTGTGCTGGCCGTAGCATGGAAAGCCGCTCTGTCTTGGGTCGTCGATCGCTGCTGCGGCCTTGCTCGAGGCCATGCCGTTCACGAGTTGCTGACAGCCTTTGAGCCAAGTTCTCCAAACGATCGGAGAGCTTGAGAGGTGAGTGCATCACAAACAAACTCTGAACTGCGGTGGTCGAACTCACGGGAGGCAACTGCTCGCTCAACTTCCAAAAAAACATTCAAATCAATCTCCGATTCAACTTGAAATGGTGGGGATGCCAAATCAATGGTGAGGTGACCTGAACTCAAAGCTTCCATTTGCACTGCATTCACAATGTTTCCACTGCAAGTTGTCCCGGGTTCAGATGGTTCCGGGGCAAACAAAAACAAACCATTCGAATACGACAGCAATGCTCTCTTTGCTCGCAATGTCTTGGCTCCCAACAGTGGCGGCGTTGTTGCCCCCAAATCTCCTAGCACGTAAAAATTGAGAGCGCCCAGCGATGTATTGTGCAGTACAACATTGCTCAATGCTCTGCTCTTGTGTCCATTGCCGAATCTGAACACTGGGAGGCTGTCATGGGAAACCTCGTGAACAAAATGCCCACTGCTCACCATCTCTTCCAAACACGCAATGCCCACAGCGTTTTCCGTCGCTCCAGTGTCGATGACTGCTCTTGTTGAGCTTCGAGACCGTTGGGGAAATTCGTCCCAGCGAACATTCACATAGAGCTCCGTGAAAAATGCTTTGCCACCCTTGCCTTTCGGTGATTTTCCACCTTTGCCAGACTTGCTCTTGCCTTTGCCGAATCCTTTTCCTCCTTTGGAGAATCGGTCAGGGCATTGGCGATAGCTATGTCCAGGGCGACCGCATAGAAAACATGGTCCGAAGGATCCTTTGTTGCTCGATGTCTTCCCTTTGCCTGAGCCAGGTCCAGAAGACGACTTGCTTTTGCCTTTGTTGCCACTGATGCCCTTGCCACTGCTCGACTCTGGCGAGTAGTAGCCACGGGCAGCGCGAACTTGCTTCACTGCATTGCGGGCTTCCTCCAAAGTCCGAGCTGCCTCATTTGCAAGGGCGAAGGCCTCTTGGTATTGACGCTCCTCAGGGATCTCACTCTCCTCGATGGGATTCAGCTCTTCTTCATTGGGCCACCACGAGTCGTCGTAGCCCCATTCATCTTCTTCCCATCCATCATACCAGAAGCTATTGGGCTCATCTTCCCACTGATCCCACGAAGTGGGACTCCATTCGTTCCAATCCAGCTCCAACTCCTCTTGCTCGGGCTCCCACTCACCATCAGCCCACCAAGCCTTTGCACTGCGGCCACGATCATGAAGCTGAGATCGCTCACTTTCCTCAGCGTACAGGGTTCGCAGAGCTTGACGGATGGCATAGTAGTGGGTGCTGTTTTGTGTCTGAACCAAAACTGCTTGCCGCTCGCTTTGACTGAGTTTTGCAGCCTTCATCAACCTGTATCCACGTAGTTCGTCCTCAAAAAAATTGGCCAACGTGTTCGACCCAGAACCACCACCACTGCCCAATGTAACGGTCGGTACCGTATCCGGTGGAAACTCACGCTGTTCGGACGCGCGCCTCTGAGCTCCAGCGACGGGAGATTGGGACGGAGTGGATGGGGGATCCATCCTGGCAGGTCCAGGTGTCACGACATGGCTGAGGGCTCGGTCAGCCCTTGCTCTCACTAGGCTTTGTTGAAGGTCTTGGAACATCTCTTCTTCCTTGACAATGAGCTGAGCCATTGTTTCGTTGGGACCTTTGCGGAGATGGTGCCAACGCTCCAGTTTGCCAAAGCTGTCGGGAATTGGAAGTTGCTGGAGTGGACTCGCTCTCAACACATTCAGAAGACGGGTCATTCCGTCGTCATCTGTGTAGTCATCGGGGTCGAGGTGCTTGACGACGCTGCGGGCAGCGCCCGACAATGACTGCCAGATCTTCGGTGCAGCTTGGGATTGCTCTGAAGGCTTCAATGACTTTTGAAGCCACTTGCATGCAACAACAAATGTATCAAATGTCGAAGCGTTGCCGTCCCAGCACGGCACACCTGCAGCCGTCGTAGTCATCCAGCCCCTGGAGCCCCCAGGGGCTCCGCTACCATGCGGGAGGTAGCACCCCAACACTCAACCAATGTGAACAATGCACAATGCTCAACAACCAAACTCGATGGTACACTTCTCGATTGTCGCCGACCGGTGGCGAATGACCATGCACGACACGTGTGCGAAAGGCGCCCCTTTTCTGAAAGGCTCGGACCCACCCTGCGGTTAGGGTGTCATGGTGCAAACGAAGGAGGCAAACAGCTCATGTGGGGTATGTCATGACATGTCATCTCGAATCTCTCACTTAGGGATAGAAGAGAGCCTGACCTACGAGACATGACATGGTCAACCTACCAAGGTGAAAGGGACACCAAATCCTGCCTTGGATGCGTCGGGCGACCGAAAGCCCCACATATCGTGGTGGTGACTCCATGCCCTCGGTCCTCATACCATCTCATACCCCCCATATACCAACCTGTCAGTGGCATTAGTCCGTACTAAGTCATACCCCCCAAAAACACCAACTCCAAACACTCCAGAGACCACCACAGTACCACTATCTCAGCCACCAGCCGCTGAAAAAAAAGAAAAAAAACACGCATGCCTTTGAAGTCCCGAAAGCTCCTACTGCCCCACCATCCTCACCCGGTTTGTCCAACGGACCACCCGGTGGAGACGCAGCGCAGCGCACCCGTGGGACGCTCGCGTCACGCTGGGAGCGGCGTGCGTCACGCTCGGAGCGTCGGTGTTCCGAACCAGGTGGAACGGTGTTGAGCGAAACCACGCAGTGAAAAGCCCCCAAACGGAAGACATGGGCAGAAGTGAATCCATGTTCCATGTGAATCCATGTGATGTCTGAGTGCCAAACAAATTCTTCCGGTCCCCGGTCCCGCCCAATCCCCCTGGTTTCTGAAACACGGAAGCTCCCGCGGCGCAGGCGTCTTCCCTGCGCGACGAGCCTATGCCATTCTCTCCATCCCACCGTCCTGCGCCGCGCCGTTCCTTCGCCTCGCCTGCGCCTCGAAACTCGCAGTCGATCCTCCGCGGACTGCGCGCACCACTGCGCGTGGCGACCGTGGCCTGAGGGACCGGACGAAGGGGGAGGCCTGATTGGATGGTGATTGGATGAGAATAACATATATATATATATAGGTCCTTTTTTTGGGGGGGGGGTTCTAGAAACTACTCGAACTGGGTGGTGTTGGTGTAGCTTTTGGGGACGGGATTTAGAAGGTCATAGTCGTGGTCATGTGCAGTTGCAACATGGAACATGGGCCTTCAAACTACAGTAGTCTCACCTACTGAGAGTCCTTTCCAGCGTGCGAGCCCTTTGTGGAATCACCATGTGGAGATTTAAGAGCACATGGAGTCATGGAGTAAGTGAATCAAAGAAACTACACTCTGCTTTTGGACGTCATCAGAGTCTTTGACTGCGCTTCTTCGAAAGAGTTCTGATGTCCAATGACCAAGTGAGTACTTGAGCATGCAAGAGCATGCGTGTGAATCAGACGCATTCATGACCTGAGGCGGCAAACCAATGTGAAAATAGCGTGAAAAAGGCTCCGAACTCCAACCACCAGCGGCATCCTCTCCATCTACCAGGACTCGAACAACCGATCGCCTGGTGCGAGGCGAGGCCATGCCTTAAGAGGTGGGGCCATCGGGCCATCTGGTGCCGGTAGATGGAGCATGAAGTACCCCCCCAAGGACCCTGCGCCTTTGGCTCTCCCTTTGGCTCTCCCTCCCATTGCCCTGCTGCTCTTGGCACTTCTTAGGTGCCCGAAACACCGAAAAAGGAACGAGAAAAAAACCCTTTCGCCTCGCACAGCGGGGGCACCCCCGTCGTCTCCGGCGTCTCCGCCGGCGTCGAGGTCGGACCCGGGGGCAGCTGCCACGCGAGGAGCGGAGCGGCGGTGAGCAAGAGGCCTCCGCGGGCGGGGTCCCGCGGATCGGAGCAACGGAGTGGAGTGGAGTTCCACGGGTTACTTCTGGAACTCCACTTTCAGTGTGAAACAACCAACCAATACTAGTCAACCAAGCAACTAGTGTATCAACCAACCAAGAACTGTTTCTTCAAAGTGACCGAACTTCATCACCTGGTTGGTTTGAGGTCACAGAAAAGCCTCCTAGATCCTCCTAGGTCACGAAAAGGAACACCTTCAAGAGGTCACTAACATGATCCCCTCTCTTTCCTCCACCAACCAACGAGTCAAAGGCCATCCCGAGCGAACCACTCGTCCTCGACGAGCGAACACTCGTCGCCGACTCGTCGCACAAAGCCGGACATCGGCGTCGGATGGATCTCCGGGGACAGGTCTCGAGCAACGATCTGCCCCGAATCCTTGGGTCAAACATCTACCCAGACACGACCCGGACCTGGGACTGCCATAGGACTGCCGAGAAGCGGCCAGGGGTGGTGACCGGGGGGTCTTTCTGGGGCGGCAGTCCTATGGCAGTCCCAGACAGGTCGTGTCTGGGCTAAAAATAAGAAACATCCAACCCAGACGCGACCCTGGACCCTCGGTTCAGTAGGGGCCGGACCCGAATCCTTGGGTCAAAGGTCCGGACCTTCTCACCAAACCCTAGGGTTTGGTTCGGGACCAGTCGGGCGTCGTTCACGGAGCGTCTGGGTGAAAGACAACAAGCTACGAACGTAGCTTGAAGTTACGCACGCTTGGAGGCCATTGCTAGTTCTCTTGGAGGCCATTACCACGTTCGTAGCTTCTTGTTACTAGTAGTAATGGCCTCCAACCTACTAGCGATGGCATGACATGACCAATTTTGGGGGGCAGGGCTTCTGGAACCATACGTAGACCACACGGCTGTCATGTCGTCGTCATGTCACGTGACTCCGTAGAGCTCACAGTCAGGCTACAACCTGGAACCCCAGTCCCAACCAGAAAGAAATGGATGTTTCCCCAGTCTCAACCATTTCCTATGTAAAGGATTTCAAGCAAGCCATATTGGAACAACCACTTGTTTCTGGTTGTGTGGGTTTCCAGGAATATGATACAATGACTAAACAGCATCCTCGAGCACAATTTGTTGCACATGTCGTGTTGATGGTTGATTGACAGAACCCCCCTTAGCAGAATGGTATTTCAATGGACTTTTTACATCTCCATGTGGAGAGTCTCATTGGTTCTGCCGTCAACACCTGTACTATATATGTTTGGGGTGTAGGCTATAGGCTTTGACCACCTCGTAGCACCGACTTCGCCCCGACCGCACCACATCCGGCGCAAGAGGCGGCACCACATAGCCCCCAAGAGAGCCCAACAGTGAAACTATATGTGAAACTCAATGTCTGATTGAGACCACACACCTTACAAGTCCAGGGCGGCACACTCACATCTGGGCGGCACCACATACCCCCGTGTTTCAGCAGGAAGCATGAAGGACTCGACATGAGGACGGCACCCGGGTCGACCAGACATCTTCGTGTGGCGCACGATCCGGTCGTCTCGACCCGACGCGGGCGGCGGTCCGACTTGCTCCGACCCGTCGGGTGCGTCGCGCCGTGCTGCGGCCGAGCCAAAGGCGCGTGCGTCGCTGCCCTTCACAGACCTGGATCTTCCAACGTTGGCAGGTAATTGCTGCCTGTTCATCCATACGGCAAGCCATAGTTGGCAGAAATTCCGCGGAAGATACAGGTATACGAGTAGGGTCACTGATTTGGTCATGTTCCATCATGTCCCTCCTTTTCTCTTCGATCGATGCTGGCTCTCGACGTCTGATTCTTTGCGCCGTTCGAAATGCCAGAACACCAAAAGCACGCGGAGCTCCATCCCAGCCGCAGATCCATCCCACGGCTCCATCCCAGCTCCCTCCTCATCCATCCCAGCTGCCTCCAGCGGCTCCCAGGTCCAGTTGCAGATCACTCAGCCGCACGTCCAAGTACAGAGGCGCCACGGCCTCCCCCGACGACGGGCGCCACGAAAATGTCCACGCAGGGCGAGATCGGCTCCGCGCAGGGCGAGGAGAGAGTTGGAATGGAGATCGCTTCGATGCGAGACGGTGCGGACGAATGAGAACAGCCCTAAGAATCAAGGACCCTCAAAGGTGAAGGTTTTGAGGGTCCAAACCCCTGCTATGCAGGGTCCAAACCCTCCATAGGAGGGTCCAATGATGCTTAGGGAGAACTCTTTTGGTGATCAGAAGTGGAATCCATCGGTGGCAGACGTTCCCTTCCACCGAAGACCAGATTCATCGGGTTGCCTTTGAGCAGACCTTTGAGCCAAGCCTTTTGGAAGCCTCCCCAGAACCCCGCCTGAGCGGTGCTGGTGCCGCTCACGGCCCAGAAGCCCGGCGGCGTCAGGTCCCAGCGCGCCAGGCGCCGCGCGCCGCGGCCCCCCGCCCAGAGGCGGGCGACACCTCTGGGCGACAGTTCCGGACAGTGTTCGGGTCGAGGGAGGGTGGGATTCTTTTGGAAAGGTCACGGTAGAAAGGGAGGAAGTGTTCGAAATACGGTCAGATGGGGCTGGGTGATGGGTTGGTGCTGTTCCATGTTGGTTCATTTGGAAGAGGATTTATCTACAAGGAACTTGCAACTAGTATGCTATATAGAGTAGAAACGTGGCAAAGGTCAAACTCCCAAAGTGTGTTCGTGTTGGTGACTCTTTTTGTTTGAACGAAGGTCCTAATATGAGAACAAATTCCGTTTGTTTGAAGATATGCTCTTCTGTTCGAAACGGATCTCTTTCACTGTCCATGTCTGTTCAAGGAGACATGCGCATGCAGCCAGAACGGTCCATACACCTCTGGAGGAAGGTTCCTAATCCATCATACGTTGGACCCATGGCGCAATCGAAAAGACTACCAGAACATGGCCCAGAACAGTTGCCACCATCACCCGCCCACCAGTCTAACCCCTTCAAAAGCAAGCGAATTACCAGCCTTGAAGGATCACCCATGAACTCAAGCATACTGTCCACCATTGGACCACTCACCGCTCCAACCGCCGTCGTCCCATCCCGGCCTAGGCCGGCGCCCGGCAGCAGCGTCAAGGCCGTGGCAGCGAAGGGCAGCGACAAGCTTTGCAGCGCCTCAGCGGCGCACGGCTCGGCGTTCGGCGCACGGCTCGGCGTTCGGCGCCTCGTCGGAGCGGTGCCAAGACATCCTTCGACGCGGCGCCAAGTCGCGAAGGGTGCGGGCTCCAATGGGTGCGGGTTTTTGGGACGAGTTTGGGTGGAGGGGAACGAAGGAATTGGGCACCTGGGGTTTTTTCGGACCCGAAACAGGGCATCCAACGAAAAAGCGGTGTGATGTGAAGCCTCCCGGAATGGAATTGTCCAAGGAGGTGAATTGCAGAATACCATTTAGAGAAAGTGAGTGCTTCAAGGTGTCTATGCATTACATATTCTGAAAAATGAGCTCTGGATCTCAAAGCAAGATGATATTTAAGTGACTTGTGGGTTGAAGAGATGGCGTTGAACTGCTGGATTTTCCCTCAGATGGAGACGTCTCTCCTCCTCTGAGTGGACTTTCCCGCTCCGACGAGTGGAAGGGACATCATACTCCGTGCGAACGAACCCAACAAAAGTCTTGCCATCCAGCAGAACATGCATATGTTGCATGATATGTAATGTTTGATGTACCCAGTTTTGATCTATAGTTTTCAAAACCATGAAGACGAAGGAAAGTTCAGCAGCAGGATCAACTTCATGAAACAAAAATTGAAGTCATGTTTGCCAGGTGCCACTCATTTTGGACAACAACTGCAGATGCTGGATCCTTCGTGGTGGCTGCCTGACCTGTGAAATCTGGTGGCTCAAACCAATAAGTTCTTGGGGGGAAGAACATTGCCCCCAAGGATGTTTAAGTGTGACTCTTTGCGCGTTTTTGTCCGCAATGGTTTTATGTATGTGTTCGCTTCTGGTGTCCAACTGCTTGAGAAAACCCGCTGCTTTTGGACGTGAACAAAAGTAGGTCGACCGCTGACCGGTCGAAGACGAGACGCGCCCGTCTCCGTCGACCTGACCTTTTGACCCAGTGGCCGTGAGGTGTCCCAAGGTGTCGCCTGGAACGGCAAGCAGAACGGCAAATGGCTTGCATGAAAAAGTCACAAAAGAAATTCAAATTAAGCCGTTTGGGTATCCTATCATCAATAGTTATTAATGTTGGACTGTTACAGCCAGTTGGACAAACCCAATATAAAATTAAGAAACGAAATCAGGCCCAACAAGTTGTGTCTCTACCTGGCCAGAACCCTGTGGCACCTGGTATGCAAATTCTCTGTGATGGAAAGCACAAAGAGTAGGGGCAATAAATCTGAATGTCGCCTGCCCCACCACTCAAATTAAACATAAGCTGCGTCCCTTCTTCTCTTTGCGAACCATGGCAAGTTCAGGAGTGGCCTGTCGTTTGGCTCTCCAAAGAGTATTGCATCGCTTTGTCCAGCGTGTCTTGCCGACAAGAGGGGTCCCTGTGTGGACGGCCCACCAACCCGAACGGCTCCGACCCTCAGAGGCCGTGGGGTTTGGATCGAACTTCGTCCGAAGGAAACACCCCTTTCATGATGGTGTGCAGCTCGATGGTGTGCAGGCACACATGGTGGCCGAGACCCCCGTTGCAGAATCAAACCAAAGGGCGGGGAAGCAACAGGAACATGGATCAGATCAACAGTTGCGTGTCCTCTTGGCCTGCACACATCAACCTTATGTCTGGTTTCAGTGTTTGGGCCAGTTCGCTCAGCAATTTTTTGTTTCTTTTTCGCAAGAGGCTTTGGATGAAAAGGCTTCTTGGCAAGAGGCTTTAGGTGAAAACTATTTGGCCCCCCCCTTCTTCTCAATGATCAGCACGACACCCCTGCTCACATAGGATCGGACAGTCCGAAACCAACCCTGGCAGAGCTCGAGAGCTGTCAAAGGATTCAACAGCTCGCAAGCAAATGCGCGTACTGAATACACTAACTAACTATATCCCTAGAAGTCCAAAGACTATATTTTGACCGGCTGAAGTAAAGGAAGTTCCCGAAATCAGTTCCCCTAAAGACCATTCTTTTTATAGTCTTTGACTCCCAGGGATATAATCATACATAGAATCCAAATGAATCCAATTGAGGAGATGCGCAAAAGGGGCCCCGAAGCATATCCTCAAAGGCAAAGAAACGCATCGCCAAGCCAGCACAAACATATTCCATGGAAACATGAAGATGATCACAGATCCTTACTACGTACCATCCAGACCTTCCTCCCTTCCTTCTCGCCCTGGCCCCCCTGGCCCCCCTGGCACCCTGCTTGCTCGCCTGTGGCCAGGACCAACAGCCTGCCGTTGCCCGTATCCAACACGTAGACCCGGTAGCCATCGCCCACCGCCACCGCCCTCGGGCTGCTCAACCGTGCCAGGTCGGAGCCCGCAAAGCCTCCGGCGGCGGCAGCTGCACGGTGGGCGGCGTGGAGTCCAGGTGGGCGGGTGAGGTGAAGGAAGGCAGATTCAGAAGGTGTGGGAAGTTGGGGGGGAGGCAAGTGTCCCACTTGGAGTGGTTCAAACCTTGGAAGTGGGGAAGTGCACATTCCGAAGGTTTGGGCATGTGTCCAACTTGGACCCCTTTTTTGGACCACTGACCCATAGGATTTGGACAGCTTCGAGGAAAAACACGGTAGCTCCGCCGGGAATCAACTCCAAAAGCCTGCCCATGTCAGGGTGTTTTGGTTCCATCAAGGAGTGTAAAGGAGTGCATCAAAAGCCTAACTACCAGGACCCTCCAGTCGGGGTGGTTAATGGACACTCCACAGCTAAAGGGCATTAAGGGGGCTATAAATAGACACCCCCGAGAGGACCTATACCAGGACCCGGTCGGTTGACATGCTTCTTTGCACCAGCAGTTCCATGTCGGGCTGCTTCATTCATGGAGAAACGTCGCGACACTTGGGCGCGCCTCTCGCATCACATGACCTACGGCCCTACGGATGAAACGCGCCACCAGCTCGTCACCGACACCTGATCTCAGAGGTTCCCGGAACGCCCCCACCGGCCCCAGATCGACTCTATGCCCGTTCCTCCAGTCGTACCGAACCTGAGGTTCGGTGGGACTGGGGTGGGGTGCCAGGAGGCTCCAGTCGTAGCGTCATCGAACCGGAGGGTTCGGTACGAGGCTGTTGGTGTAGGGATCCGTCGGTCGTCCCGTCTTCGTGACCAGACCGACTCAGGGGGGAGATCGGGCGCCCGCACGGGGTCCAACCGCCCGCGGATGGGCGGATGGGCGGATGGACCCCGGGCGATTGATCCACCCGTCTAGGGAGATCCAGGGAAGGTAAGTGGAACAACTGGACCCGGAGCTGGCTGGCACGTATGTCTCTGTCTCAGTGTCTCCACCTGAAACCTGAGGGTGCCCGTGGATATGTCCAGGGAACTTTTTGAATACCAGGAGTTGAAGACGAAGAAGAAAACCTTCCAGGTTCTTCGGGCGAGATCCCGCATTGAAACATCACAGAGATGTGCCAACAGAGCCGCCAAAACATCTGTCCTTTGTGTTCTGCAGTGGTTGGGAAGAGACCTACCCTCCAAGAAGAAGCACCCATATCTTCGCCAAGCACACACATTACCCAGACACGACCTGTCTGGGACTGCCATATATGCCGCCCCATTGACCTCCCAAAGCCAAAACCACCCCAATGTAGGAGTCCCATGGAGTGTCTGGCTTATATATGCCATCTAAACGATGCCCCCGTCTCCGTGGGTTCTGTCCACGAACCGCCCAGGATACCCCCTGCTCTCTCTGTGTTCCGTTCCCACCACCCGTCCCACCACCGCCGCCTGACTCTCCAAAGTGCGTGCGGTAGCGCAGCCCCTGGACCTCCAGCTGCAGCAGCCGATGGTTCCCCGTGTCCACCACGTAGAGGCCTGGGTTTCCCGGCCCGCACCGGTCCGACGTCCAGCCGTCCAACAAGGACCGAGCCGAGCTGCCGAGCTGCCGAGGTCCAACGAGGTGAGGTTTCCAAGGTCGAAGGGATGTTTACCATAGTTTGACTGGCTCGGACTGGCCCTGTAGGGTCATGGGTGGGTGGAAAGTTGAAGTTTCTCCCTCACGTGGAGTTTGGGAGCTTCCTCAAGCACCGCAGGCGAGAATTCTGGGGGAAAAAAAATGGATTTGCAGTGCCTTTCCTTGCCTTTCCTCAAGGTCTTCAGACCACCTGCTTGGACCAATACACTCTGACTGTCCTGTCCACAACAAAGCTTAGAACGTGCAACAAACCGTCGTTTTCCATGTCTCGGGCGCCACTTCCATCCAAAAGGCTCTGGCCAACGACCGGTCTTTACTGGACCGGCGCCTTCCTTCAAACGGGACGCCACGTCTGACGGACCCAGTCCCCGCCGCAGCCGCGCTGGCTCCACCAAGCCGAGCCACAGGGCTCCGGCAGCGCGGCATAGGCCACGGCGCTGGGGGAGGAGAGGCCGCCCGTGTCCTCAGCGGCACCACGACGGAGGGGGAGGGGAGGCCGGGTAGGAGGGTGTCCACATCCCAAAGCGGCCAAAGAGAACCAAAAGACGAATTGGTGAGCTGGATGTTCAGGTCATTATAACAACTATATGACTATATGTGCCCACCGCACTAGCAACTCTTCCCAAAGTTGGTGAGTGGGTTGCGCCTCATGTGGATCTTCCGAGCACCACGGCCCGCCGCCCGGCGGGGGCCGGGCCGTTGAACGGAGGCGTCGTCGACTGGGGAGGAGAATGGGTCCGTCCCCTTTCGGAACAAGGCCTGGTCGATCGACTGGGGAAACCCCCCTTGGCCAACAGTTAGAGGATGTTAAGAGAGGTTGAACAGACCTATAGCCTATCCCATATGTACCACTACAGGGTCTTATATGGTCTCTCAACCTCTCTTGGATGTTAAGAGGCCTGCAAAAAGACCTGCAAGCTCTGGTGAAAACAAGAGCCTGCAAGGTTCTTTCTCCTGGCCTGTGCCACAGCAAGCCACTGACTCCGCGACAAGTTCAATGAACCACTACCAGCACCACCACCGAAAGGGTGTCCATTAATAGCCCCTTAGAGGTTAAGGGGTGTCCATTAACCACCCCTTGGGGGTCCTGGTACATGAATTTCGTTAAGGAGTTCAATTGGTCGATGCGCGTTTCATCCCAAACTCATGCAACCTCACATGCTTATGAGCTAGCCAGCAGGTGAATTCTTGAGTACCACTATTAAAATAGCGGTCTTCATATATATATATAATTATATATATATATGAGAGAAAAGTAATTAGGTCCCCACTACGAATCTATTGGAAAGCATTGTCCATCTATTTGGGGACCACTATCCAAGTGGTGTTCATACTCGAACGTCCACGCTGTCAGGCTGAAGGAGCTCCAAGGCAACCGCGTCCACGCTCCGCGTCCACGCTCCGCTCCTCTCGGTGACGGCCACCAGACACCCACCAACCCATCTGGTGTGTCAGACCCAGCCGTCCATTCAGACCCAAGCCTTGGGCATCGTCTGGAAGCGATGTCCAAACAAAAAGAACGGATGTTCAATGCATTCGATCCAAAGGCTCAAATCCCGAAAAGGGGCCAACCATCTCCTCAAAAGAACGGCCCTCCACATGCGGAAACTCCTCTTTTCCCCAGATCTGAGAAAAAGAAAGGAAAAAACATAAGCACGACAAAGACACACAAATCAGCCCAGCCATCCCTCCCGACTCCTCTTCCCCTCACACCGTTGTTTGAACTCTCCCCTTCTGCCAGTCCCCTGTGTTTCCCGTCCACGTCGGTGTCCCCCAAGCGGCCGAGGTCGCCAGGTAGCCCACCTCGATGGGACCTCCATGGCCGTCCCAGCGGGACGGTGAATTCGCCGCGTGGGACACGTGAACTCCGCGTGGGACGCATTCCGCGAGGCAGTGCCGCGCGGGGCCCAAAAACGGCTCCAGTGAGAGGAAGTCTGTTCCTTCTGGGGGGAGAAGGGAAGTCTGTTCTGCCCCAGAAAACACCCCTGGACCCTGGTATACGTCGCACTGACGTAAAAGGAATGTCCGGTGGAAAGGAGGATCTGAAAGTCCCGGTGTTTGGGAAGAACCGGTCGCCCTGTTTGGAGCCCAACGAACAGAAAATGGCCGTGTCTCATGTCGTTGCTTGTTACGCTTGTGGAACATCTGTTTCTTTTCTTTGGCTTTCTTCGGCCGACCGGTTTTCGGGTCTGGTCTGGTATGGCCATGGGCCCCCTTTCTCTTTTAGGTTTTTTTTTTTGGGTGAAGGACTCCTTATCTCCTTTGCCCCACCCGCTTCGCTCGCGCGACCTGGGTTTCGCTCCTCCGCTCCGTTTGGGCCTGCGACGCGGCGCCCGAAGATGGACACCAAGGCGAAGCCGAGCGGAGCCTCACGCGGTGGACGTCCGGGCGGAGCCTGCGCTCCTCCATGAACCTAATACCCGGCTGAAGTCCAGTTCGACGATATTTTGGACCGACTGAAGTGTTCAGGAAATTCCTGATTTGGGGTCACCTAGTCAGACCATTCTTTGTATAGTCTTTCGCTCCCGGTCCCAGGGTGTACTTTTCCCATCTTTGGCCAACATCCAGTGTCAAACGTGTTCAACCCACTAAGCTGAAGACTCGGATTTCAGCTGCGGTCATCCTTTCCAAATGTTCTCGCTGCTGTGCATCTTGACATTCCAAGCGCTTCGCGAACTCCAGCATTCATGATCCACCCCGTGGTAGGCGGTTCCATATGCACCTGCACCAAGTGATCGGTCTTGAGAGAAGTTGTTGGTGCACCTGGCAATGTAAGCATAATCTGCAAAGCTTTGCTGCCAAATGTGACAGTCGCAGCCGCAGGTTGGACTGGCCGCACTGGTCTTGCCTCTGGTCTTGCCACTGGTGGGGACGGTGAAGCTAAATTCACAGCTGGGGAAGGTGCATCAGCTTCTGCCAACGAGAGAGCGATCGCCAGATCCATCTCTTCTTGTTCACTCCTTGGACGTCTGCATTTGACGTCCATGCGGAGTTCTGACTGCAAGTGCAGGTTCAGGAAAGTCTTGCCAGGGTTCATCAGCAAAGCCAGAGTTTGTGTCCTGCGTATGCTGGTGGAGTGAGTTCAGAGCTTTTCCAGCACCCGACTCTACAGGTCTCCGACATGGTGGCTGAAATGGAGACTTCAAATAGGCAGGTGGAGACCTGTAGAGGTGCTGGTGCTGGTTGATCTGTTCGAGTGCTCCATCATGTTCCATCTATCTATCTACTTCAGCCGGCGCCTTCTTTGAGACCTTTTTGTGGGTTCAACTCCCAGCCGTTCCGTGTTCCGCGTTCCGCCTGCGTCGCCAAACGCGACCACAAGCCCGAAGGCGGAACCGGTGTATACCGATGGCTGACCCTGATGGGGCCGATGGATGACGTTTGTGGCTTTAAACAGAACGGCTAGCCAATGAAGATCCCGCTCCGGGGCGACATGGAACATTCCGAACTCGCAGATTGGACTGGCTGAAGCACTTGACCCTCTAAAGAGCCTCACCTCCCAAAGCAGGGGAGGCCACCACCCTGCATCCGCTGCGCTGGAGGAGCCTCCCCGTCTGCGCGACCAGCTCTTAGTTACCGGAGCCCGCTGCGATGAGCCTGTACGTAAGCATGCCCTACAGGTCAGTCGGACCTCATTTCCCAGACACTCCATGGAGCTGCCATATATGCCTACATTGGGGTGGTTTTGGGGGTCAATGTAAGCATATATCATGTATGGCATACATGGAGTGTCTGGGTTTTACATTGGAGTTGGTCCTACAAAAAAGACACTACTGAGGTAAAGCACCTGGTTCTACTGGATCGTAGGGATGGGTCCGATGCATTCATTGCTACGCGTAGCAGGACCTTCCACGATTCGCTGGCTCTTGGACTCTCTTACTCACAGGTGGTTTCTAGGACACGACAGTGGAACCGCCGGTTTTGGAGGCCGCAAGTGGAGAAACATGTGACACACACCCTCCCAAATGCCCGCCAATTAAACTATACACCTTCGAAGGGCTCCAAATCGAACCCGAAGGAGTGCCTTCTCTTCTCCCCACCGTTTCTCTTCTCTCCACGTCCCACGTCCAACGACCCCGACGAAGTACCCCGAAAACCGAGGGGCAAAGTCGGCGTCCCGCGTCAAGGCCGAGAACCTGCTGCTGGGGCACCCAAGGCGAAGAGGTCACCAACATCACCAACTCCCGTTCGACTTCCGTTCGACCATGAAAAAAAAGGGGAACGACCTGGTGCTTGTAGTGAAAAAATCCTGGTCGTTGGTTCGGTGATGCCTACCAGGACCTTCCAAGAGGTGTCTATAAATAGCCTCTTAGTGGTGAGTCGGGGTGTCCAAAAACCACCGGACTTGGAAGGTCCTGGTAGTAATTGAATGGTGGGCCAGGAAGTCTACGGAACTGAAAGACTGTGGTGGAAGAGTATCACCTGGAACCGTCGGGGTGCTTCATGGACACCCCATTGACATTCTAAGGATCCGGGCTATGAAATGGACACCCGGAATCCGTGGTGCTGGCAGTATCCCTCTGATCATGCGCACAAAAAGATATCAGGAGCTCCCCCCTGGCCTCTAAAGAATGTCCATTTCAACTTTTGCCATAGGCTGTTGATGGCCTCGGTCGCTTAGATTTGGCAGTAGCCCTCAACCAAGTGCCCCCTTTTGGTCACCAAGTCCCCCAAAAAGTGAATCCAAAGCATGCATGCAGGAGCCACACCATCGAAAAAGTCCATCCCTTCAAACCCCCCCCCACCCAAGCAGTCGCACCACGAGGCGACATGGGCATCCTATGCACCGTTCTTCTCTCGCATGGAAAGCCTTGGAAGGCCTTCCACGGATCGCTCGCGTTCGCGCCTGGCCTGGAAGCTCCAGTGGGTGGCAGCAACAGCCCGTAGAGGGTGCCTGGGACCTTCGTCAACATCAGCCGTCCCTCTCCCTGCGCCACGGTCGTGGCGTTCTCCTGCAGGACTGGCGGGCGACGCAACGCCGGAGCGGAGAAACCGGAGAACCGGAAGTATCAAATCCAAAGTGAAGCTCCCTTCTTACAGGACCAAACTCAATGCATAATCCCAACTCCAGATTGTAATACATGTTTGCTAAAGCAAGGAGAACTCAGGTAGCTCAAGCTACCTTTCGTGACTTGATCACAAATTGGCTGGAAAGGACACCTGTTCACCGCCCGAGGAATGACTGGTCAATGAGGGGTCACAGTTGTAGCGGTGAGCACGAAAACTGCCACCGAAGCGTGGTGAACCAAGCACACCCCCTTACGTGTGCACCGTTGCAGTGGCCACCAGCCTGACGAACAGGGTTCTTGAAGAAATTTTGGAGGCAACAACTACCAACAGAGGTCAAGTTAACCTTAATTATAGGCCCCGTCATGCTGGTACTTTTTGGGAAGAGAAGGGACAACATCAAAAGGGCTTCGTTCGGCTCACCCCACGGATCTCCCTAGAACACACGTGGACCTATCCGGCCCACATTTACCGCGGGATCCTCGACTCACCCAGTCTTCCAACGAAGATCAAGCAAACCGGAGCAGTTAAGCGCAGAGCAGTTGAGCTGTGGGGTCGTCAGCCCGGTTTGCAGCCCCAAGAAACTCGATCCTGTTCCCCTCAAAACCACCGAGAGACAAGGCTCTCTGGACGGAAGAGTGTGCATCCGAAGAGTGTTCCCCTCGTCTCCTTGCCTGTGTCCAATTGCCGGTCCCACGTAAGAAAGGCCCCATAGGCCCATGATCATACTATGGCACAAGTAGAGGCAACGGCACTTGTTTCTAATAGCTTCTTGTTACGACTAGTAAGGCACTTGTTACTAGTAGCGATGCACTTGTTCCTACTAGCTTCTTGTTAACGGGGTGAGGTGCTCAAAATGCTGCGTGGTCTCACCGGAAAACCTGTGGAAGGGGTTGCTCAGCACAGCTTCTGTTGCGCCTTCTGCTGCGACCTCCCTTTACCGGTGCGGTCCGTTCTCGCGTTCTTGCGGTCGGTCCGGCAGCAAGCGTTGGCCATCCACCGTGAAGTCGAGCGTGGACGCCCTTGTGGGATCAACCAAACGGCAGTGTGCTGAATTGGTGATGCGGTAAAGCTCAGCACTTGGCTGGAATCTGTAGGCCAGCCAGTTGAGTCTATGGTGACTTTGGTGAGGACATGGTTGTAGTGGGTTGAGGGGGAGGGTCACTTTCTTTGTGGGATCTCCGATGGGGGAGATGATAGCGGGGTAAGATGACCATCCTCATCATGGCAATTTGTCGACCACAAAACAAGCTGAACATGCACAACGAGCTGATAACAAAAACGAATCAGCGACAACGGCAAGATAAACGCACCTCATTATACAATCGATAGCATCTGCCTGGTTGACTTTCTAAAATGAACCAACTGTGACTACTGGAACAATCCCATGATACATACTAATTACTGCACTCATGGCTTTGACCCATACCCCATGGGCTCTTCCACTGCATTCTGAAGAGCCAAATTCTATCAAATTCTTCTTGCTATTCTGAAGTGGAACAGGCAACACCTTCCTGAAAGAGTCCCTAACCGTGTAGTATGTTGCTGAGGGGGGGCGTCAAACAATTTTTAGGTTACAGCTTTCTATGTATTGGTCCCGGAACCAGTCCCCCAAGACGGTGGTGACGTTTAAAGTGATGATTCTTTGATTCCTGGGTCCCATCACGGTCCCATCGGAATGCCTTGGATTCCAGCGGGTGAAAGCAAAGACCCCCCAGTCGTCAAACCGGACCCACTTCACAAAGGGCAATGACGAGGGGAATCTGAGGTCGAGTGTACCTCCAGCTGTGCCTCAATGAATCTGATGATGTTGCACCGCTTTTGGAAGCTCAGTCTACCCTTTCAAGATGAAACGAACAATTCTCCCAAACCCTCAGCGCAGGCCACCTGGGATTCAAAGTGCCGCCTTCCATCACCGCGGCATGCAGCTGGTTGCCTGAAAACGGGTCTTCCAAACTTCTTGGGGCCAAAGCAAATGCAACTGAACACCAAAGGGAAAAAGACCAAGAGAGGTAGCCAGTAACCTTATAGGACCCGTCACCTGGGGTACCCTGGCCTGGGATAGTCGATACTGTTGGGTCATTCAAGCTCTGTTGGGAATGCCATGATGCCGTTGGAAGCTCGACGTCCAATTCAATGGATGCTGGAAAGACGATATGAAACTTCACCCCTTGACCCACCTCTACACCTCTGTGGTGAGGCTCTTCTACGTGGGGAGTGCTCCAAATTTGATCGGCTCACACGGCGGGATTGAGGCGGAGGTGGGTACGGGTATCACTAACCTTGCAACAAGAGCACTAGAAGAGAAACTGGTAGACCACCCCCGGCAGGAGGAAACTCCTCTTCCCACCCTTGTCTCTAGTCACTAGAAATTCAGCCATGCCAAAGTTGGATAGAGGGTACACCGCGTAGAACCCCTGATTCTGCACAGAAGAGCTGACTTGGAGACGATCAACTATCAACACCTCCCTGACCCTCAGGAATGTTTGGTGGGTCCACCCGTCGATTCATGTAGCATCTGTGAAAGCAGCAAACCGGCCTCAAGCGGACTCAACGACATTGCCAAGAGAGGTTGAGAGACCTTATAGGACCCCATGGCCCATAGTGGTGCGTATGGGATGGGCTATAAGGCTGTTCAACCTCTCTTGGTGGACTTGCCTTTTTGCATTTCAACTTACCTCCACCTTTCACGGAACACCTCTCTTTGCTTGCCATCAGCCCATCACCCACCCCCCCAACATCAGCCCTGGCTGCCCGCCCTGGCGAACTCCGGCCACGTGCCTTCAGAGACCAGGCTGTTGATCTCAACGGAGGCCGCTTGCCAGAGGTTCGCCACGAGGGTCGGCCAGGAACAATCCTGGCGAGCGAGCGATTTCCGCGATCGAGCTCGCGTCCGAGTAGGTCCGCCGAGACGGTGCAAGCGCGACAAGGGTACGGCGCAAGCGAGCCAGGATCGGAGGGGGTTGGTTGGTTGACATGGGTGGTTGTGTGGAGCCAGAAATGAAAGGAATCGTTTGGGATGATCGGTCGAGGGCGCAAAGGAGACATTACGACATTAAGACAGGTTCAGGTACTCTGAGGATCGGTTCCATTCCTTGTCGGGATTGGTTCTGTGACTCAGGATGTGTCAGGATGGAACCTCGGTTTCGTTCAGTTCGGTCAGGTGAAGGTGGAACCAGTGTGGAGGAGTTGAAGTGAGGAGAGGCTTTGGTTACAAGACCCTGGTGACCCTCTCATCAAGATCCAGGTGATTGGGAAGAATCTTCCTCGTCACGTCCCATCCCATCGGTCTCTGGTCGGTGGCGTAGGTCGTTTCGTGGGGGAAAGCGCGAAAGCGCTTGGGCGACCGAAGTACCAGGCAACATCATACAGGTGGTTTCAGAGTAGAAATCCGGGCACTCCAGCCGACCGCGAAAGGAGGGAAGGTGTTGGTATGATGTTCTTCGGCTCAAAGGGCCCCAACCAAAAGCGTCTCGTTCTCGAGACGAGACCCGCGCGGTGCTTCGTCCCCGCCCCGTGGAAGCGCGCGCGCCTCGCTACTGTTGCTCAGGTCCTCCAAAGCGCCAAGGCACCCGGAGGGGTTCTTGAATGAGGCGAGGTGGCCACTCACAGTCACTAATAGACCCTTGTTGATAGAGCATCGCTTCATATTAAAAGACGATGAAGGTAATTACAAACAAAAGCCTTCAGGAAACCAACAAGCGCAGTTTGGGATTTCAAAATGCCCCTGGAAGATGGTTTTCCTCTACCAGCCAGTGATTTTCAGGGTCCATGTCAGTCTTCCAGGGTGTAGGTTATAGCCCCCCATCCATGGGGCCGTGCTGCCGGTGCCCAAACCTGTGGACCCTCGTCGGGTGACACAGCTGTGTAGTCTGATCGGAACAGGATTCCAAAGCAGCTAACCTGCACCCCAACAGGGCCCCCCCCCCTCCCTCAAGCTGCTTCTGCACACCTAACCGGCTCATCTAGCTGTTTGGTCCGTCGTGCGTTGAGGCTCTTAGGCCGCTGTCCGTCGTGCGCCGGCCAAGAGTCTCACCCCAACAGCCCCTTCGAGGTTTCAGAGAACGGGGTACGTCGGGTACGTCGGGTACGTCGGGTACGTGTCAGTTCGACACACTTGATGAAAGAAAATGGGTTGACCATGGTGGACCTGCGCTCTTGTGGTGGTTTTCAATCCGGAAAAGCCCATGGTTCTTCGGGATTCGAAACCGCTCAACATCTCCTGGGGTGATTGACACCACATACCCCCAGCACCATACCCACTACGTCGGCACCTACCCGGCCCCGTCCACACTCGCCACGTATCGTCCCCCCCCCCCGGCAGGGGAAACCGCACACGCGTTCGCGTTCGCCACGCCGACCCGCGCGTGGTTGGATCCTCCGCGGTCTCGTTCTCGCAGAGGTTGGCTGGCAGCTCCACCAGGTGCAGAGCCGCTGGCTGCGATCCATCTGGTCGACGACGACCGTGGCGGTACGCTCCAGGCGGCACGGCTGTCGGACCCGGGACCAGGCGGCATCGGCGGTCCCGAGTGGCGGGGGTGCTGGGAAGGTCTGTGGAAGGGAGAGGAAAGTGAAAAGCCACCTGAGACCGAGTCGGACTACCAACAGAGGTGACCTGAACTAGGACCCGTCACCTGGGGCACCTATAGGATAGCCTATAGGGTTCTTCAACCTCTGCTGGTACTTCTGAGGAAGCTCACTCACTTCTCTGTGGGCCGCTTAGCATTTCTCAGAGTCCCTGTACCACACCGCCCGGCCCATCGTCACACCGCCATCACCCCGTGCACCGCATCTTCGAACCCTGAAACCCCCAAATCACAGCATCATGATTTGAGTCTTCTTAGATCACAAGCAAGATACATCCAAGATCATGGTGGAACTTAGATACATCCAAGATCATGCTCTAAGAACACTCCAACAGTTACATCCAAGATCATCCAAGCGACCTCGCAAGCAAGGTCACCCCCCCCATCATCTTGCGCATGTGCGCAGCCCAAGAAATCGGTCACCGGTGTGGGACCGGCCGAATGCTGTTTCGTAGCAATGGGCGTTCCTCGGGTTGAAACCGGGATGAGGTTCATCCCAAGTTGCACCTGAAAGCGAGAAGAAAGACATGGTGGCCTCTGCCAACGAGTTCTGACGAAAAGAGTGATTCAAAGAGAAGGATGAAGTGAAGAGTGATTCCTTCCATGCAGTCCCTGGGCACACCGATGGCCATCTGAAGCGAAACCAAGTCATTCCGCAAGCCCAACTGTGCAAGCAGCTTAAGCATGATCTTCTCTCCAACACTGCACAAATCCCTACCAAATTGGACTGGAATCCCACCAACCTCCAGGCCAGCCACCCTGCCACTTGTTGAAACCACTTAGCCCATTGGCCCCGCATCCTCCATCCTCCCACCTTCTCCGGTGGCCGCCACCACACCGCTCGCCACTGGCGCCAGCGCCGTGATGCCCGCACCGCCCAGCGTCACTGTGAGGCGGGCGGGCAGGACCAAGAGCTGCGGGCTGGCTGCGTCGGTGCCTGGAGGGCGGAGGCATCCCGGAGGGAGGGGGTTATACAGAGCTCCATCCGATTTCGGAGCAGATACGAAGTAGAAGATACCCCTCTGGAAGTCCAAGACCCTTTGAAGAGAATCTTTAGGTCACCCAAATGTTCAAGTTCCTTGTTGATCTTGTTGTATTTGGCTGGTCACCTATCTCGGACGTGGATGGCCCGAATGGACCGAGTGCGGTGAACTCCTCCTCAACGGGGACCGGTCCGAACCGGCAGGGGCTTTCAACTATGCCGTCTCCGAAGACCGTGACTCAGGAAGAAAAGAAAACCTCACAGCATGGCCAAACTTTGAAGCAGAGAAAAAGAAACTCCACTATAGTTTGGCACTTCTCTCTCTTCTCTCTCTCTCTCTCTCTCTTCTCTCTCTGGGTCCTTCGTACCTGGACCTCCAATGGGTCTATCCCACTCTTTCCAACAAATCCTGCCGGCAAGAGTCGACCAGCTGTCCCGAAGCACTCGAAGCACCCACTCTTCCCAACCGGCTGGGGCCAAAGCTCCTATCCCCCACTCCAAGGGACGAGTGTCTACTTTAAGGCCATCCAAATCTGCGTCTCTCGGAGTGCAAATCTGGGAGAACAAAGATCCAAACCTGGGAGTCCGGTCTCCGAAAAGATGGGCCTGGAATCCCTTCTTCTTCTGCTGTTCTCCGCCTCTGCCCGACCCATGTTCCTTCGGCTTCTCTCCCCCCGTGGCCTAGAATCGCCATCGGAACAGTCCTCGACGTCCGGCTCGACCGTCCAGCCCGTCGTCGGTCGCACGACCGAACCCACCCCCTCCCCACCGAAGACCAGACCTGTCGTCCGGACGGAAGTCCAATGGTGGTGAATGCAGAGACCCCCCAACAAAACACCTCCTTTTGGGGGGGGCGCCTCTGGCATGATCGCCGCATAGCCGAAGCACGAAGGGTTTCATGGGGCGGACCCGCGCCTCGATCGGACACCGCCTCGATCGGGGCACCGTGGCACCGTGTGAAACGCCCTAAACCAAGGTGTGTTTTAGGCCGCCGGCCCAGGTCTGTAGTTTTGCTTCGGCAACAGGTCTGCAAAAATACCGAATCCCCTCATGGGCATGCTCCATCTGCTTGGGGGTCTGAGGGCCAGCTGCTCTGGCTGCAAAAAACTGTTGGTTTGTCAATTGCAAAATAAGGAATATGTTTGAACGGTGCATAATGTGTGACCATCCAAAGGTCCGGATTTACATACCAACAGAAGTTAAAGGACCTTATAGACTATCCCATAGGTACCCCACAATGGTTCTATAAGGTCACTTAACCTCTCTTGGTATGTTTCATTAGCATCTGCTTGGGCTCGCAGCCCGGAGCTTGTGGTCGAACGGTCGTCGAAAGGGTTTCCACACG